CATTGTGATTAATAATTACTTCTCATATTAATTTTTTTAAAAATTTTCGAAAAATTAAAAAAAAAACGCCACTGGGAAATTATTTTTTTTTTTTTTTTTGAAATTTGGGCCCCCCTTGCGGCGAACAAAAAAATTTAAAAAACGGGGTTTTATTTATAATTATTTTTTTTATTTTTAGAAGATTCGTTTTGAAAACAGAGTCTAAATTTTTTAGACTTTTATGATGAAAAATCATTTCTTGAATTTATAAGAATTAGGTTATTGATATCGTTATTAATATTATCCATATTATTTATAAAATTATCACTTCTACTATTATTAAGGTTGATAATATAATTATTAAAAATTATTTCATTATGTGTGCTAAATTTTCGATAAAATACAGTTAACTCTTCCTTAAATAAAACATCATTTGATTTATCCAATGGAGTGGGAACCAATTGACAGATAAAGGTTAAACCTAAATTTTGGATTTCATTCTGTTTATTTAAGTTTTTATAATACTTTTTAACTAATATATTAATCTATTAAATAAAATATTAAGTTTTTTTAGAAAGTTGTGTTTTTTAGGAGAGTGTGGGTGGTAAAAACAATACATACAAATATTTTTTGAAAAAAATTAAATAATAGAAATACAATTACTGTGGATACATATATTATTAAAAATAGTATAAATAAATAGTCATGATCAATGATTGCACAAAAAATAAGTAATATTAATGTAACTATATGTAATATTAAAACCACTTTTAAAATTATATAAAATATTTTTTTTGCATCATTATCATACTGATTTATTTTTTCTATTATTTTATTAAAGTCCTCTTGGTTAATTAAATGTTCTATTTCAGTTCTATAGGCACCTTCGATTTGATAGTTGTTATAGGTTTTATTTATTATTTTAAAACTATCTATACCATTTTTATCACCATTAACCACTAGGGCACTTCTCTGATTTATTAAATAATTAATTTTATCTATTTGTCTATTTTTTATTCTTGTAATATATTCTATTTTTTTCTTTTTAATATTATTTATATAGTTTAAAAAATATAAAAAATTATATTCTTCAATTATATTTTCTTCATCTATAATTCTATTATTTACACTATCATTATCATTATAATTGTCGTTATTATTATTTTCACCAATATCATTATTTATATCTTTATTATTATCATTATTTAATTCTTGAATTGAAATATATGATGCAGATGGTATCATTTTATAATTTTTATCATCTATACTATTATATTTTAATATATAGTTTTAATAATAATGATATTATAAAGCCAATATAATTAATAAAAATAAAATAAAAAAAATAAAATTAAAATATTCTTTTTTTAATATTAAAAATAATTACATATATAATTAAGTTATAAATTAAGTTTATTATTATTTTACCACTACCACTTTACCACTACCACATTTTTTTTATATATTAAAATTATAGTTAAATTAAAAAAAGAAAAAAATACTCGCACCCCCAAAAATAAATATTTCTAATATGCAGAAATATTTAACAATTAAAAAATTCTAGCTAGTATGTAAGTTTACATTTTATTTCTTTTTTTTATTTTTATTAAAATTTAAAATTGTTACTATTTATTTTTTAATATTTTTTAAAGAGAAAGATTTACTCGATCTACGTCTAGATCTCCATTTTCTAATATTCATTGTAAAGTTGCTGAAACGATATTTTCTGAATATTATTGAGGTTGCTATAATGATTAAAACGAGCAAAGCGGCAAAGCCCCCAACTACAATACCAGCAATGGCATTATTTGATAGTTTTCTTTTGTGACCTGAACATGTAGAGTTTAAATCAGAGCCTGAGAGTACATTATTTTCTAATAGTAGCGAAAAGTCTGGATCAATTGATATGTTTGTAAATTGTGGTAGTTCTATTCCATAAAAGTATTGACCAGAGTTGCTTTGTAAAGTGACATTAAATTCATTGTTTCGGTTTATATGTGAAATATTGATTTTTCTGGTGCCATCAAGCAATGCCGTGTTTAAGAATCTACAATAAAGCGATTTATCGTTGATTTGAATACTTAGTAGATCAGAGTCATTTGCTAAAGTTGCTATTTTTTTTGAACATATATCTCCTCTTTGAGATGAGTTTAGCTTGGCTTGTAGGATCAATTCTAGAGTATTAAATATCGATTGAAATTGATAGTTGGTAATATTTATTGTAAATTTAATTGAGTTTGGGATAATATCATAGTCTGTACCAGCAAAGTTAAATATTGATTCTTCACTATAAATGGATAAAATGGATTGGATGGTTGCGTTGGTTGTACTAGCAACATTTGGTATTTCTGTTGTATATAAATATTGTTCAGGTGATTTCGAGTCTAATATTTCACCTTTCCATTCTTTTTGGAGATCTACTTCACGTATTATTTGACCTGTGATATTTATTTCTCTTAGTTGATAAAGACTAATCAAACTGTAAAGTTGGGATATACCCGTGCCTTGAAAAAATGTTGCTGTTGGTTTATTTATATTATAGCTTATAGAAACTCCTTCTAATGGTTTTGATGTGCATTTAATTCCAACCCATTTATTAATACATTTACATGTATTATGTGCTATACATTTGCCTTGTAAAGCGCCCCCACAATTGTTTAATGAGTTACAGTCAAATTGTGTATCTGAATTACTATTATTATTGATGCTCGATGGTGCTATTGAAGAAGAGGAAGAGGCAGAGGAAGAGGATAGTGATGGTAGTAAAGAAGAGGAGTCGGTTATTATTTCTGGGGCTAATGTTAAGTCCCCAACAGAATTTGAATTATGTGAAGAGTCACTCGATTGTATAAAATCTAAAGAGGATATGGCGGGGGGTTCTAAGTCATCAATAGATTCATTTGATTCACTAGAGTCTGAGGATGTTTCTTTTTCAGGTATTATAAATTTGTATATATTTGAATATACACCATTTATAGATAATGTGATTTGTATATTCTTTGATTGAAGTTTTGAAATATCAATATTCATTATAATTTTTGTTCCAGAAAAGAAATCTATATTATATGGCAAGCTAGGGTTGTTTGTTGAAATAACTTTTCTAGTTTTTGATACACCTTGATTAGAATCGCTTGCAACTGAAAAAGATACTAAGCTTGGATCAATTCCAAAAAATGCACCATCCATTGATAGGATTAAATTTGAACCATTGTTTGTAAGTGTTGGGGAAGCAGATGAAATGATTGGAGTAGATGAGCCTAATACCATTCTAATGGTTGGATCCAATGATTCTTGGAATTTATTTGATAGAGCCATTGGGCCAAAACCAGCAGCATTCATAAAGTCATCTACAATTCCATAAATGGACACTGTTGCCCCATTAGGATAACCAAATCCAAAAGGAAATTTAACCATACAATTGTATTTTATAGAATCTGAGCCCTTTTCAGTGATAATGATATTATTTTTATCACATCCAATATATAATGAGCCAAATTTATCTTCAAATATAATATTTGGCACTTGATTTGAGGATATATGTTCATCGGAAACAGTGAATGTTATATTGATAATTGAATTTGGGTTGCTATAGTCATAAAAATTTGGAGATAATGCAAATTCTGCTAAATCTGGGGGTGTTGTATCTTGGATATCTGTTTCACAGTTCAATCTAATACTTTTTTCATTTGAATAGGCGACTTTGAATAGAGCAGAAATGGTTTCATCTGATGAATAGGATGTTTCATAACCTTCCTGATCTCTAAGAAAAACCGATGTTACAGTATAGGTTTGCGAGGAGCAGTTTATATTTTGATTAATTCTAATTTGATATATCTTGCCGTCAACTAAATCATTTGGTGTGATTTTAAATGAATAACCAACTGGATCTAGTTCACTTGTAATATTAATTTCACCGTTTGAAAAGCCATTAAACTGATCTTCAATGATTATATCCCAACCAAAAGAGTTTGAGTTTTTGCTAATATTGACACTAGTGCCTGGAATTGCAACAATCTTTTGGACTAGCGGAGGACTAATATCGCTATTATTTGTTTGAATTTCTACACTTGAGTTTGTTCCGATTACAGAGTATATATTTGAATAGCTATATTCTCTATCGTTTAGAATTATAAAGTAATTTAAGTTTCCATTCAAATAGTTTTTTGGTATTGTAAACAGACACTGAAATAAGCCTAGAGTTTGATTCCATCTAAATGGTATTGGTTCTGTATGTTTATTCAATCTAAAATATATTGGATAGTTGGTGCTGGTATTTGTTTGAATATAGATTATATTATTTCTATTGGTTGATGATGGATTTGCATCGACTAGATTGCTTTGAAAATACAAAGACTCTATGTCAAATATTGAAATTATATTATCTGAATGTTTAAGTTTTTGTTAATATTGGGAATGAATAATAATAATAAGTTAATATTAATACTTACATTTTGGTATTATTAAACTTGGAAATGGATTGTATTTCAAAGATTCAAAGGTCTTGGGATAATAAGTATTATTTTGGCAGTTATAAATTGTATCACATATCATAATTGTAAAAGAGTTGTTCATCGATATTACAAAACTTTCATTTACTGTATATTCAAGTATACCATCTGATGCCATACTTATTGCGGTTATAGTTTGATCATTAATAGTTAAAAATGAAAAACTATATGTTGATTGATCTTGGATAAAGAGTCTAAGTGTATACCCGAATTCGTTGATTGATATTAACAAAATATCAGTTATAATTATTGATAAAGTTTTATCTAAAAATAAAATTAAAAATTAGTAATTGTTTTTAGAGAAATTTGTATTTGTAAACATATTTACCTGCAGTAAAGTATTGATTTTGAATTGGACCTAAATTAACATCTGAATAGTTGTTTCCATAGAATGATGCTTTACGGTAATAGAATTTGTTGTTATCTGAATCATCGAAAAAGTTTTGAGGAATAAGCATTTCATGCTGGAATGTTAAAGAGTTGGGGGTAAAAGATGAAATGCACCAATATGGGATATACGATTGGTTGCTATTTATATATTTCCAATCAAAAATGGTTTGGATGGAATAAGATTTTGGGAATTCTAAAGGTGGCTGAAGATTGGTTTTGTTAAGGGTAAACGACATAGAGGAAATAAAGGGTCCTGTTCCTCCACCAAAAGGATAGGGTAAATTGGTAAATGAACCACTTAAAATTGGATCGGTAGTATTGGTATCTAATAAATAAAAAAAATTAGTTTTTAAAAAGTTATTAGGGAATTTTAATTTTAATATTAAAATATAATTACCTTTTTTTTGGGAGTATTGGTACTGCACTGAGTTACCATCATTTGTTAATAATTCTAGAGTTATTAGGAGATCTTCAGATAAAGGTGTTACATTTTTAAAATACCCTATAAATTTAGAAATGTTTTTTGCACTGTATAATGGATAGGCTGTAGTTATTAAATTTGATTGGTTGTTATTTGTAAATACTGGTACAAAATTATGGTTATTATCATTTATAGTATTGAATAAAACATATGAATATTTGTCGTTTGTATAAAAGGTAATATTGGAATACTGTGATAATGTAGATTCTTTAATAAATATAATTTTGTTAGTATTTTATCATATCATTATTTTTAATTATAATAAATATAATTACTTTTAATATTTGGTGTTACAGTGAATGATGTATAGTTTAAAGATAGAGGTGATAGTACATTTATTGGGAAAATTGTTATAGGTGGGTTATCAGTAACTTTGGTTGGGTCTATAATTTTAAACTTTAAAATATATATCGAGTTTGAGATCTGATCATAGGATAATGAAAATGGAGAGTTTTGGTTGGAGATGACGAAATCTAATTTTAAACTGTTAGTAAGATTGTCTACCCTAAGTGCTATATCGAATAAATAATCATTTTCTCTATTAATTGGTATTAGATCATTGTTAATTACTATCCCTAAATCGGGCGGAGAATCTTAAAAATTTTAAAAAAAAATTCAGAAAAATTAAAAAAAAAAAAATTAGAAAAAATAAAAAAAAAAAAATAGAAAAAAAAAAATCGGAATTTTCCTTACTTTGACACGATAATGTTGATACGTTAAAGAAGGGGATTTGAATAGTAAGATTATTACTAGAGTATAAACCTTTTAAATTTAATTGAGATAATCCTATATTTGAATTATTTCCAATTAATTTAAATATGGTATAGTTTTCGTTTTTCTCTCCATATATTTTTTGCGAAAAAATTTCAATGTGGGGTGACATTGATTGGATCGATTCTATTTGCGTTTCTTCATTTAAATTATATTCTAGTTTAATTATAATGGTACTGCTACATCCATTAGTATAGTTTGAAAAATACGTTGTTTCGATTACATCACTGTAGTTTATGCTATATTGTTCTGACTTGAATATGAAATTAAAAAGGAAAATTAAAAAAATAAATAATTTAAGCATAGCTTTTATTGAAATAAATAAATATATAGATAAATAAAAAAACTAAATAAAAACAAAAACAAGTTTTGACATGATAAAATAAATACTTTAAAATTTGTTTTATGTGTTATTAAAAATTAAATATTTAAAATTAAAAAAAAAAATAAAAAAAAAAAAAAATAAAAAAAAGTATGAAAGTATAAAATATATTTATTACAATGTTTTATAATTAATCGTATTTTAAATAACACATGTGGAGATTCCTCACAATGAATTCTTTTTGACCAAACTATAAAAATAATAATTTACTTCTTTAAAAAAAAGTAATTAGAAAATTATTTTAAATTTAATATTATATTATAATAATTTTAAAAAAACTATAATTTTATAATAAACACAAGTTTGATTTATGTTTTAAATATAAATTTATTACAATTATTAACTAAATAAGTTTAAACAGTTGTTTAAGTTTAAAAAATGTGATTTTATTTTTTTATTTTTTTTTATTTTTTTTTCTTTTTTCAACTTTTTTTAACTTTTTTTCCCAATTTTTTTTTTTTAAAATTTTTTTTTTTTTCTTTTTGCTTATTTTTAAAACTAATGAATTATAAATAGTCATTTTATATGTAATAATATTTGTATAGTAAATAAAATGGCGGGAAATAAATTTATAACCGATACAAAAAATGCAATTATAGACATTGGAATTAAAAACCAAGATTTTGAAACGAGATTTAATTTACTTATTAACAAATGGAATAAAACCGAACATCAAGATTTTTTAAACACTTATTTTAAACAGTTACTTGGTTTTTATAAAACAAAAATTCAAGAACTTTCAAAAGAGTGTGGTCCATATCAAGAAGAAATTATAAAAAAAAAGTTAAAGGAAAATATTATATATAAATTTTGTAAGAGTTTATTGAAAGTTGAAATCCAAGCATATGAAAAGTATTTCATTTTGTTCAAAGACAGCGAAAACGATATCATAAAAGCCAAGCGTCAAAGAGGATATAGGAGTGAAAATATAATTCGTGAATTTCGAAAGCAATTAGAAAAGATAAAAAGTACAAATGCAGAAAAACAAGTGAATTCTCTTTCAGTTGAAATTTCCAAATTATCAATTCAATCTCCATCGGAAACATCATCATCATCATCATCAGCAGTAGCAGTATCGGCATCAGCATCAGCGCCAACACCAATACCAACACCAACACCAACACCAACACCAACACCAACACCAACACCAACACCAACACCAACACCATCAGTACCAAAATCTTCACTCATAGTTGAATCTAATTATTATGAAGTTATTTTTGAAAGTATAGATCTCTATAAATCAATAAGTAATGTTGAAAGTTTAATCAATACATTATCTAATTGCAAAAGTAATCAAGTTATTGAAGATTTAATAAGCTTTAATACTTTATTAAAAAGAGAAAAGAATCAAATTGATAGAAAGATAAAAACAATGGAAAATTCAAAAATTTTAAATTATTCAAACCACATCAATGAAAGAATATTGCTATTTAAAACTGTAGAAGAGATTGGTAGAGTTTGTCAAAGGTATCAGGCAGCATCTTTTTCATCACTAAATGCAAAAGCAAGAGAAGAGTTGTTTAATAAGCTTTGTACTTTTCACAACAAGAATATGTCGCATCCAAAATTATTCGAAAAGGGTGGAAAATTCAATAATCCATTACAAGATTTTGTTTTAAATGGGTTAAGTATTCAAGAGCCTAAACTCGGTACAATTAAAATATCAACTTTTTTAGAAAAACTATTTAAAGAAATTCAACAGTTAGTTGATGGAATCAAAACTACAATTCAAGCCACTCCAACTCCAACAAAACCAACTTTGGAGAATCAACCTATTATTAAAACCAGCGATGTACTAAACAAAGTTTTTGAAAAACCAAAAGATTTTGAAAATATAGTTGTAGCTTTTGATGAGCTAATCCGAACATATCCAGATATTAAAGAGTTGGTCATTGGTAAACAAGTGGTAACAGATAATAAAGATAGAATTCAATTTTGTGAAAAAATAAAAAGAATTATTGAAAATGCTAACAAAGAATTCAATAATTTTTCAACATTTAAAAACAATTTAGAGTTATTAAAAAAATATGTTAAACTTAGAATACTCGTAGAATTTAACCATTCATATCAAAGACACCTTTTAAGAATTAATAATGGATCAGAAATTATCGAAGAGCTTTCTATTTTTCATAATTATTCACCTTTAGCATTCCGTGACTTGGCTTTTAAAGACTATAGCGAACGTTATTCAAAAACATTTAATATATTTACATCCCCAAAAAAAAAAATCGTTATAAGACCATTCCAAATAAATGATAGCGAAACAATCTCGGAAATTATTTTAAACGATATTAAACAATTTAAAAAATTAACAAACAACATTAATAATGCTGGCAATGAATCAGTAAACTCAGTTTTGATTAATATTTTTAAAGTTCCAAATATTAGTAGTATTCAATTAGCAATCGATAAAGCTTTAGAATCACACCCTCAATTCAAAGATGGATTAATAACAATCAAAGATATAATAGAAGATTCAAATTATAACGAAAAGTTTGGAACAATAAAATCTCTTGCTGAAAGAGACATTAAAAAAATATTTGGTAAATTGGATCAAGAATTGTTTGATAAGTTTATGACATTTAGAATCATTTTAGAATTCAGCTTTATGTTTCAAAGGAGATGTTTAAATGATAGACTAGAAAGCGACTATACAGAAAAAGGAAGACTTTATAACGAGTTAAGCAAATTCCACAATAAGAACCCTTTTATGTTTGATGCTATTATAAATAAAGATTATAAAACTTATAATATCTTTAAAGTTTTTTCTTTCAAATTAAATATAAATGATGAAGATGAAATTGTACTTCCACAGTTCAAATTATCAAGTTATCAAGATGATATTTCAAAAACAATTTTTTCATTATTCTCTGAAATTATAGTATTATCAACACAATTAATTAATAAAACGAAAGGAACATCAAGTACCAGCGAAATTAATAATATTAATAGTTATATTATAAATAATAATAATAATAATAATAATAATAATAATAATAATAATAATAAAAATAATAATAATAATAATAATAGTATTAATAATATAAATATTAACGAAAGAGATTTAAATAATTCAATTTTTATTAAAATTTTTAAAAACTCGCATATTGGCAAAATTAATGAAGAAATAGATAGTATGGTTTTAAAGTATCCAAATCTTGAAGGCTTGGTCTATGCTAAAAAAATTTGGGAAAAAGAAGATAGAAGTCTATTATTTACTAAATTTACAACTATTAAAAACAATGCAGTCAAAAATATTAAAGAGTTTTCTGGGTCAAGTAATGATATATTGTTAGAGAAATATTTAACTTTTAGATTCCTTACCGAGTTTAGTTTTATTCACCAAAGAAGAGTCTTAAAAGAGTTTCTAGAGGTCAATAAAATAAAGAGTAGCAATGCAGCTAATGAATTAAGCAAGTTACATAATAGAAATTCACTATTTTTCAGAGATATCGTTAATAATGATTATAGTAAAACCAACCTTGTAGAAAATATCACTTTTAAATTTAAAAAGAACACAGTCCAAATTCCTCTTTTCAAATTATCACATACATTTAAAAATGATATTTCATCAGCCATCAGTTTTACACTTTCTGAAGTTATCAAACAGTTTTCATTAAATTCAAATAATAATAATAATAATAAATTGGTTTCAGAAAAAAATAATAAGAAAGATGAAAAAAAACAATCAAAACATCTATTAAAGAAGATTCAAATTGATATTAATGAATTAGATGTAAATATAAAAATCATATTAAAATACCTATAAACGTTTTGTTCAATATACTAATATATTGTTTTTATTTTATTAGAACGAAGAAATTATAAATTTATTAATGAAAAGTTCACCAAATAGTTTGCCATTATTACAGGTTTCATCTTTAAAGAAATTGGGTCAAAGTTTTAGCGATCATGATGAATATATTGAATCATTTAGACCTTTGATCATTGAAGAGTTCTTAAGACATATTGAATCATCATTCTCTGAATTAGACGAAGGTATAGGTTTATTTAGCGACGATGGTTCACTAAAGAATTTAGAGAAGTTAAAAATGAAAAATGGTATATCAATTAAAACTATAAACGAAACATCCGAAGATTTACTAGAAGTTTTATTTAATATACAATCATTAAACACTGATGAAGTTCCTTTAAGCCATGATTTAGTGTTATTCAAAGTATTTTTGCCACCTAATCAAAAAGCTTACTTTGTTGTTGGTAGGGTAGCTCCAAGTAGACAAAAAAACAACAGCCCTCAAAAAATTACGGTCGAATTTTTTGTATCAAAATACACTCAACCATTCATTGATGAAATCTATGGCTATTTAAATAGTTCAAAACCACACAACTCTATGATTTACTTTTTAAAGATTTCAAATACAATCTCCTTCCAAAGAGAATTAGACGCAATTAGTGGAATTCATAAAAGTCCACTTTGTGATTTTATATTTTCACCAACACTAGAAAAGAATCAAAAACTATCTGGTAATAAATTAGTTGTTCCTTCAAATTTAGAACGACATTACAATTCAGAACTGAATGAGTCACAAAAAGAAGCAATTCAAGAATCTTTACATTCAGGCGGTGTTAACTTGATTCAAGGTCCACCGGGTACCGGTAAAACCCACACAATTCATACTTTGGTTTCAATGTTGCTAGCCTGTAATCCAAGATACAAAATTTTAATTTGTGCTCCATCTCATGCTGCTGTAGATGAAATTGCAAGAAGGTTTATTAAAAAGAAGTTATTAGATAAGAATGCTCAACCGTGCTTGCCAACTATTTCAAGAATTGGTAAATTAGAAAATATTGCAAAAGATATCCATCCAATTTGTATTTACAAAGAGTCAGTACATAGTAGAGTGGAGATTTTAAAGAGATCTAATATTTGTTTTTCGACCTTATCAGGCAGTGGTTCAGAAATAAGAAAGAGATTTTATAAACCAGATATTGTAATTGTAGATGAATCAACACAATCCTGCGAATCATCAACCATTATACCATTGACAACTAGTAAAACAATAAAGAAATTAATTCTAGTTGGTGATCCAGTTCAATTACCACCAACCATTTTCTCTCAAATTTCAGTCGAATGTAACTTCCATCTTTCATTATTCGAAAGATTATCAAAAGTTATTGGTGTTCAAATGTTGAATGTTCAATATCGTATGAATCCGAAAATATCAAAATTCCCATCAACATCGTTCTATTCCAAAGAGTTAAAGGATGGTGGTAATGTTAAAGAGTATAATCTTGATTTTTATAAGGATAAAAAGTATGGTCCACTCGCTTTTTACGATATTACTGATAGTAAGGAAGAAAAGGGTGCAAGATCTATCAAAAATAGTTTAGAGATTAAAATGGTATTTGTATTTATCAAAAAGATTGTTCAAGATTATCCAAGTTTAAAAAATTCAACATTTGGTATTGTTACACCTTACAAATTGCAAAGAAAAGAAATTGATATAGCTAAAAAACATTTTAATGAACGAATGGATATAGAAATTAATACAATTGATGGTTTCCAAGGCGCAGAAAAAGATATTATCATTTTCTCTTGTGTTAGAAATGAAAGGATTGGTTTCTTGAGTGATAGAAGAAGAATCAACGTTGGTATCACTCGTGCCAAATATGGGCTATTCATTATTGGTAATAGAAATCTTCTTCGAAAAGATCGTACTTGGGGTCCATACCTTAAATATATTGAATCAATTGGTGGATTAAATTCAATAACATCCAAAGATATAGAAAAACTTCAGTTGTCAGCATCAGAATTCGATAAACTACATCCAGATGGATTAATTACAGACTTTGACGTAAGTGATGAAGAAATTGAATTTGATGAAAAAGCTTTTATCAATAAAGAAGACGACGAAGGTTTAATAGATGATGAAGATAGTGAAGATGAAGATTCTGAGGAATCTGAAGAATCTGAAGACTTGGAGGACGATGATATTGTTAAATCAATGGAATCATTAAATATTTCAGATATGAATACACTTGATATAATGGTATCTAATTATTCAGATTTATTAAATCAATTATACACATCGAGATCAAATTCAAAAGAAACAATCAAACAAAAAATAGAAATTAAAAAACAATTAAAATCGTTAACCAAAAAATTAGCACAACTTTCTGTTGAACAAAGAAATCAATTATTATCGTATTCAAAGTTTTCTTCAAATTATCAAAAACCAATCCAAGACTTATTAGTTCAATTAAAAGAATGCGACAAATCAAATCAACTTAAAAAGAATAGCTTTGATAAATTAAAAAGTACATTGAAGGATGGTTTTGCAACTGCTAGTCTCGATCTATATGGATCCTTTTTTTCTGGTATATCATTAAATGAAAGCGATTTAGATGTTTGCTTTTCTTCAAGTCAAAAAGAAGATAAAAGCTTATTATCTCAGGTAAATAGTTATTTAAAGAAGGCACAGAATTACACTATTGTAGAAATTAGAAAAAGAGCAAAAGTACCAATTATTAGATTCAACGAAAAGACTACAGAAATTCAATTTGATATGTGTTTCAATAATAGATTGTCAATTTATAAATCAATATTAGTTAAGGAATATGCAGATTTGGATTCAAGATGTCGTGATTTAATATTATTAGTTAAGCATTGGGCCACACAAAAAAATATCAAAGATGCCTCTCAAGGTACCTTCTCTTCATTCTGTTTAGTTTTAATGGTCATTAATTTCTTACAAAATGGTGTAAATCCCCCAATCTTACCAAATCTTCAATCTCCAAATAAATCAATTCTCGAACCTACCTCAAATCTCAAAACAAATATTAATATTGAAGGTATCCTAATTCAATATTATGATTATAAAACTCTCAAATTTAAATCATCAGATAATAAACTATCAATAGATCAATTGTTTTATCAATTCTTTAAGTATTATTTAGGATTTAATTTCAAAGATTTATCAATCAACATTTCTAAAGGTTTTAGACAAAGAAATTCAAAAAAGATTATGGAAGTTAAAGATTTATTCGAAGACAAAAGTTCCTCAGCCGGTATTAAAATTGAAACTTTCAAAAATATTTTATCTGAATTTTATTTAATCGAATTCAAATTAAGAACTGGTTCACATAAATTAGAAAATATATTGGATCCAAAATTATCTTTATCACTTTATAATATTTAAATTATTTACAAGGAAAAAAAAAAAAAATTAAATAAAAAAAAATTTTAACTGCTCACAAAAACTTTTAAATATGTAATTTATAAAACCTACAGTATTACACTAGTTATAACTATTTTATTTTTTTTTGTTTTTATCTGTTTAATTTAGATTGGCAGTGCACATTGATTCTAAAGTTAATAAAAAGGCTAAAGCGGATGTAACTTCTTCAGCTAATGAGACAATAACTCTATTGAATACTTCATCGGCTCTTTCAATGGTGGCATTTCCTCTCTTATTCCATTGAATTACATTATGAGTTTGATTTGAGTATTGAGTGAACATATATGATAAAGTTTGAAATTTAGTTTTAAAATCTATAATTTGTTTATAGGTTTCTTTTGTATGAATTATATGAGCGTTTCCATTTTCATCACAATAATTTTTTAATATAACCTTTGCTAAATTTGAAATATCTGAAAGATTTTGACTCCAATTTTGAACCATTTGGATTTCATCATTTTTGGTTAATTCTCCCATTAACTCTGCAAGAGTTTCTTGAAGCTCTGGGATATTGATTTCTATATTATTTTCATTGTTGTTATTTTGTAATTGGTATTGTGCTAAAACATTCATTTTATAAAGTTGGATAAAATATTTGATATTATAAATAAAAAATGAAAAGAAAATTTTTTTTTTTAAATTTATATTTTTTTAAAAATTTTATTAAATTATTGAAAAAAAAAAATTTGCAGAAAATCATGATTTTTTTTTTGATAATTCAAACCTATTTTTTTGAATTATAATAATTTCACACAAATTTAATAAATTTATTTTATTTTTTAAAATTGATATTTAAATGAGAATTTTTAATGGGGCAAGTTCAAAATTTTGGGAAAATAAAGTTCAGAATGAAAGTTTTTTAAAAAAAATTTTAAAAGTGTTTTAACAATGGTATTTTTTTTCACATAATTTCAACAATTCTCCTTTTGTGAAAAAACTTTTTTTTTAATTTTTTTTTAAATTTTAATTTTTAATTTTTAATGTTATAATAAAATTTTTTATATTTTTTTACATTTTCCCTATTTATTTTATTTTTTCTACAATACTTTTTTATTTATATATTGATTATTATATTTCTTAAAAAATAAATAATATTTTATAAAAAATAAAAACTACCTCAACCATAAATAAAATAAACACCCAACCATATAAAAATGTACTTAATTATTTTATTTTGTTTTTTTTTATTCATCATCTTTTTGTTATTACACATATTTGACAAAATTCTTATCATCAAAACTGGCCGTAACAAAAGGATCATCATCAACAGCAATAGCATTGGTATTGATAAAAACAAAAAATTTAAAGACATCTATAATAAAATTAACTTAGAGGTAAATGATGAAAAATGGTTAATTTTTTTTGGATTTCCACAGGAGAAAGCTAAAATCATTGTCGAAGGAGTTTCTAAATTCGGAAAAGTAATTGATATACGTTACCCATATCAATCAAAATGTAATTGGATTTTTTTAAAATTTGAATCCGAAATTATTGCATCTAAAATTTTAGAAAAGAAAAGTTTAGTTATTGATAAGTATACTATTAATATTTTTGGAGTTCAAAATAATCATGTATTTATCCCTTTTAAAATTTCGAATTTTCTTCATTAAGATTTTAACTCTCCTATTTTCTTTTTAGGTAAAACCGATAGGCCCATATGATAAACCAACTGTTAACTCAGACTAGTCACAGACAATTGTAAACCAAAAACAAATTGGGATTCAATTAATAAATTATAATATCATCTCAAATCCAAATAAATAGAAATCTTGTAGACAATAAAATATATGAATTAAAAAAAAAAAAAAGGAAACTACGTTTTTTATTTAAAGTTTTTTATTACGATTTTCTTCTCTTTTCTTTTTTTCTTCTTGACGTTTATCTATTGATCTTTTAATTAAAGAAAAAACATCAAGTTGTTTTGGAATACCCTTTAGGTTTATGTTTAGTTTCTTGAGATAGGTTAAATCTGGTTTTAAATTCTTAAAATTTATATTTTTTAAAGCATTCTTTAAACCTAATGGGTCAAAATCACGTACACCACTATTAATTGCTTCTCTATAGGCCAATACAATAATCATAAATCTTTCTGATTGTTTATCCAATTGCTTTTGAGTTAAACCTTCACCATCTACATAAAAAAACTCGCTAAATGCTTTAATCATACCTTCAATGATATCCAATTGTTCTGATGTTAAATCTAGTTTTTTATTTGATGGGAAAATAATTTCATCCATTGCCTATAAAAATAATAAATAAAAAATTAATATTATATTTAAAATTTTAATTAAATAGAGCTAGTATACATTACATTTATAATACCAGCCCAACAACGTTTTAATAATTGCTTTGTTAATGGATAGTAAAGATATTTTGAAAATATTTGTAATTTTGAAGTAATATAATTTAATAAAGGCTCTAATCTAACATTAATGGGTATATTATCACCTCCATTGAATTGAAGCGCAAGTTGATCAAAATTCTTTTCGATCTTTTGAAAGAAATCTATAACTAAATTTTTATTTTTATCTAAAGCTAGACCTACAATTTTATAAATTTCACCTTGAATAATTGGAGATAACTTTTTAAAAAAATATTATTAGTATGATTAAAAAATATAAAAAAAAAAAAATAATAATTTAACTTACTCTTTCATAAATTCTATCTACCAATGTTAATACATTATTATTAATTGCTAAATATGTGTTGGTTGCCATATTATTTACAATTGATGGTGAAAGGCGATACGATGACATGATTCTTAATAATACTTGTATTAAATCTTCGGCATGACCTATTGTTGCTTGTATGTTATTGAAACGTAATGATACAGTTTGAATTGTTTTTTCTAAGTTTGAAGAGTACGATTCTGATAATTGAAAAATATCGTTAGCAGCTTGATCTAATGAATTTAAACTTATATCTCTAATGACCTTGGTATAGTAAATGATAGATTCTGAAATGACCATAGTAAAGTTGCCCATAACCTCAAAGAGTGTATGTTCACCGTCTTTATGATCTTTTTGGAGATCCTCCCAACGTAAGCTTTTAATAACATCCAATGCATGGTAACAACCTAAAATTACTTCGCCTACAGATGCAGAGTGTAAAGTGTCGTGTGATACTGGGTTCCATTTTTCAGCTGCGCAAATTCTATCGATATGATTCTTTAATTGATCAGCACAAACTAAAGTCCACTGTAAAATGACTTGTTTGAATAATACTGGGATTGGTACTAGTTCTAATTTTGGATAAATTTCTTTAAACTTGGTCATTGTTTCTTTAAGTTTTAAATAAAGTTCAAAAAACTCTTGTAACTCTTCTAAACTATTTGCACCTTTTTCTGTGAGTTCATCGACCTCTTTTGATAATTGCTCGGTAAATATCTGAATTGAAATAATTAAGATTGGTGTATCATTTGGAAAATCTCTACTAAAATACTTTTGATCTATATCTAAATTATATAATAATAAATCACAAACTTTAACTAATAATGAAGCTTTGCTTTGTTGTTGTGGTGGTGTTGATGATTGTTGTTGATTTGGTGAGTGTTGACTATTTGATGATTTATTTATACGAGTTGGTAAAATTACATTTGATTTACCTAAATCTTGAGATAAATTAATTGAGTATCTATATCTAATTAGATAACATTCCCTAATAAGCTCTGGTAGGGGTGGTAGTTGGGATAACTCTGAATTTCTTAGCAAATAATAAATATCGATGAGCATTCTTAAAGACCCACTTGGTAAATTTTGGGGAAATACAGCATGGAAATGTAATAGCCAGGTTTTGCAAGCATTTGATAGTAAAGTTACACTTTCTACTAAAATTTCATCTTCATTTTTGGTGAGACCAAAATCACCAAATTTAATTTCTAAGGTATTTTTTAAGATGGTTCTAATTTCGGGAATGTACTCTAGTGAATGATACTTGATGGTGGAGTGCACTAATCTTTTCATTATGAATAGTTTTAAAGTATGATCCATAATACCATAACGTTCACAAAACTCTTTTAACAATAGATTGGATTGCTGTGATAATATAACCTTCTTCTTGCTACTTAATAGTGGTGACACTACCCCACCCTGTCCAGAACCAGATGGTGAAACTTTTGAACCTGCTAGTGAATCATTTCCGCTTTCTTGTTGCAATTGTTTTTCTAGTTGCTGTTGTTGCTGTATTGAAACAAGGGTATCGGTTTCAATTAATTTATCTAATAAAATTTCTAAATAATTTACATAGTCATCGTTTATGATTGGTTGGGTTGGGTCTGGGAAAGGTAAATAATGGAACTGTAATTTAATATCACCACTGATTCTGCTTCTTGATGTTCTTTTTTGTAATGGGTACCAGTTTACCTCTCTCTTTAAATGAAGCATTAACTCTTTAACTGTGAATTTGTATTTACCAAGGAAATGAATTTTATCAGAGCTTGTTTTAATTGTACGATTATCCCAAATTGTAAATTCGATTTCGTCGTTCAATTGACCTTTGCTGATTTGAAATGCATAGTGTTCCTTCCAGACTGGGTTTAAACCTGATACTTTTTTTGTTCTTTTCTTATCTCTGCCAAATTGGATTTCTAAATATGACTCTGGCTTTCCCTCCTCTTTTTGAAACAATTCACGTGCCGATACGACTTTAATTGCAAGTACACCAATTGGATCGCTTTTATTATTAACCTTAATACCCCATTGACTTTTTAAGTACTCTTCTCTTGGCAGCATTTGCTGTGATAGTTTTACAATGGTTGCTTCCTCTTGTTTACGCCAATAATAGAAATTATCTTGCTTTAAAAAGTTTTCTTTGTTATAATATGGATGATGGTCGAGAGTGTGTTTACGTGCTCTAAGCTGTGCTAAAAGATACTCTTTAGATGATAAAGCTTTGGACTTTAAAAACAATGTCTTTTCGAGATATGCATCCAACTTGAATGAAGATTTGATAACTTGGGATTTTTGATAGGCTTCGACCGATTCAACAGCACATGATAAAATAAAATTGAACTTTTGTAATGCATCGTTATAAGCTGTACTATTTGTAAGACCTTGCTTCTTGAACTGGTCAGTCAAGTGGGTTGTAAATGACTTTTGAATAGATGTTAATGAAAATTCTGAAGCATCTCTAAATTTATTTAAACCATCTTCGATAAACTTTTCTAGTGCCCCAATTAAATATGTAAACTTTTTAGCAGATGGATCGTCTTCTTCTTCTTTTCTTGCAATATCTAAATAATATCCAAAAACTTCGAATAATGAATTTATAATAATCTTTACATTTGATGCACCCTTTTCCCTAATAATTTGACAAAAATAATTATTCATCGATGAAAGTATATCTCTTTTAACATTATTTGTATTTGATAGAGAATAAAATATACAATAGTGTACTAATTCGAATATAATAGATAAATCTTCTTGTGTTGGTTTTTTATTATTGGTAGTATTGTATGGTGGAGATTGTAGTAATTTACTATTTGTCATATCGGTTGTAATTTCGGGTGGCTCGATCATAATAGTCATTTCTTTATTACTATAATTTATTTTCTTTCTTTCTAATGCATTAGACCATAACGAAAACATCCCCTCTTTGCTAGCCTTTGCTGAAAAATCTAACTCTACATTATTTTTAACTAATGGTGTTTTATTTAAAACTATTGTTGGTATATCCTCTTTTGAAATATTAGCTCCACTAAAATTTGAAGGTGATGATACAACTGACATTCTATTTGGAGAAGATATATTTGAAATCTGTTGTTGCTGTTGTTGTTGCTGCTGCTGCATTTTTTTATTTATTTCTTGTATATTATTATTACTATTATTCTTACTAATATATGACATCGGGATAAAAAAAAAAAAAAAATTTATGAAAGAATAAAAAAAACTTATCGAAAAAAATAAATAAATAAAAAAAAAAAAAAAAAAAAAAGGTAAAAATACAGAATGAATAAATATTAGATATACACAAAAAAAAAAAAAAAAAGATATATGAATGCTTTTATAAAAAATAAAAAAAATAATTGAAAAAAAATAAAAAAATATAAATTTTAAAAAAAAATTAAAAAAAAAAATTAAAAAAAAATAAATTGGTGCTGGTGTGGTGTGGGGTTAACTTATCAAAAAATTTAAATACCACCTCAATATGAGAACTTTAAAATGAAAAACGTTAGTTTTAAAAATAATCATTGTAACATAATCCCGAAAGGTTGAAAATGTATTAATGATAAATATATAAGTACATAAAAATGAATATTTAAGATAATAAAAAAAACGAATGTCTATATTTGGAACAAATCAAAATTTTATAAAAAAAAAAAATTTTATAAAAATTTAAATTCTTACAATTTTAATCATTTTTTTTTTTTTTTTTAATTCCCAGAATGATTTAAAATATGTGTTGTGTATTAAAACCACTTGTATCATAATCACATTAAATAATTTATTTTTTAAAACTTTTTTGCGAATAAATGAGCTGGAAAAAAAATTATTTTAATTTTTAAAAATTTTTATTTTTTTTAAATTTATTTTTTTATTATTTTTTTATTAATTACACTTTTCAAAGTTCACTTATGAGTGTTGGATAAAAATAATAATAAATAGTCGTAATTAAATTTGTTTTAATAATATTATTATTAGAGCATTTATTCATTATTTCTATTGTTTATTTTTTAATATATATGTATATATATCTACCACATACCCACGCCACAATAACACGACAACAACCACTCTCACAACACCCATAGAGTGTATTGGTTCCTATTTTTATTTTTTTTTTTAAATAATTCTTCTTCTTTATTATTTTTTTTTTTTTTTTAATAATTTAAAAGAAATAAAAGTATAAATATAAATATAAATGTAAATATAAATATAAATATAAATATAAATAAATATAAAAATAAATATTTAATTAAAAAATTAATTTTTTAAAATTTAATTTATTTTTTATTTTTTTTTTCTTAAATTTTTTCAAACTATTTTTCTTAATTTTTTTTCTATTTATTAAGTTTTGTTTATGGTGTTATCAAGTGGTTGTTATATATTTGAAAAATTTATTATTTTATTGTAATAAATAGTGTATCTTTAGAGATATTATTTATATAATAGTTTTTTTTTTTTTTCTTGTAAAACTCGTAAAAAAAAATAAAATAAAAAAAAAATGGCAACCTTAAATTTTATAAACACCAACAAATATATAAATAATAGTAACAATAATAATAATAATAATAATGGAATCATAAATTTTATATTTAATTATCCAACAGAAATTAATAAAATTATAGAATCAATTGATACTATGATTCAAGTATTTCCAATGCTTAAAGAATTACCACTTGCCAAACAAGTAGTAACCGATACCAGAGAAAGATCCAAGTTTGATGAAAAGATCGATACAATTAAAAAGAATGCAAATAAAGATTTTAATGATTTTACAAAATCATATAATAGTCAAAACCAATCACCCAATAACAATAATAACTTTATAATATTATTAAATAAATATATAAAATTTAGAGTTTTGATAGAGTTTAATAATTCATATCAAAGAAAATGTATTAAGGATTATTTTGGGCCATTTCCAGAGTCTAAAGTGCCGCTATTATTAGCTCTAAACGATTTAAGTGCCTTTCATAATTCAGCTCCATTGGGTTTTAACGATCTAGTGTACCGTGACTATACTGATAGATATACCAAAATGTTTTGTGACTTTCATTTCAAAAATCCAAAAACTGATGAATCTATTCAAATACCGGTTTTCAAATTGGGTAATCAAGAAAATATTTCAAGTGAAATTTTATCCTCAATCATTGAGTTTAAACAATATATAAAAGATAATATCAAACCATTACCACAACTACAATGTCGTGAACAGTTAACACCAGCACAAAATAATAATAATAATAATAATAATAACCAACAACAATCACCAACCCTCTCTCCTTTAATTGCCTCAACAACATTCACTTCAACTTCAACTTCAACCTCAAACTCAACTTTAAGTGATGTTGACAATAATAGTATTATTAAGTTTATATTTAAATCACCAGAAATTAATGATATTGTAAACTCGGTTAATCAAATGATCAAAGTGAATTCAAATTTGAAAAATGAATTGACTCAAATAAAAGACCTAATGAATAGCAAAGAGGGACTAAAAGCAACATCTATCAAGATTGAAACTATAAAAAGAAATGCTATAAAGTATATTAAAGAAGAGACGGAACTAAAAGACAAGAAATCAATTATCAAGAGTGATTTATTTAACAAATATATTCAACTTCGAGTTATGGTAGAGTTTAGTTTTATGTATCAGCGTAAACAACTTAGAGAACAGCCAGATCACAGAGCACAAATACCATCAATTCAATCCAAACGTATGAATGATTTAAGTATCTTTCATAATTCATTTCCAATGTATATTTATGATTTAGTGAAAAGAGACTACAGTTCAAATAAGTTTCAAAGAATCTCAAGAAATTTTACCTTTACTTTAAATAGTCAGCAAATCACTATCCCAACTTTTAAATTGCCACAAGAAGATATATCTGATATTATTCAAAATCAATTTAATCAAGTTTATCAGTTAATACAAATTTATAAAAAAAATAAAAAACATCCATATAATAGTAGTAATTTTAATAATAACCATATTAATATTAATAATAACAATAGCAATAATAATAAAGTTAAATCACCTCCATTTATTGTTAAAAATATTTGTGAACAACAAACATATTCATTTGATCACAAATATCTCACTTTTGGTAGCGATGAAGAAGATGAGGATGATAGTAAATATTATGAAGAAAGAATAAATAATTTTTATAACGAATGTGAAGATGACGAAGATGATGAAGATCAAAACTATATAGAGCAAAATTCCATATCATTATCCAACTCATTAAATACCAATTCTTCAATCAATAATAGTATTCCGATCAATAGTAATAGTTGCAACAATAATAATAACAAAAATAATAATTTAATTATAGAAATTTTAAATCAAGTTTTTGAATCACCAGAAGTGATTAAAATAACCAATACATTAAATGAAATGATAGAATTATATCCACAGTTTAATAATAGTTTAGTATTTGCAAAAGATATAGTGTTGGGTAATGAGGGTAACAAGGGATTAGACGTAAAAATTGAAATCATTAGAAAGAACGCACTCAAAGATATTCAAGAAGAGATGGGCTACCTTGATCAAATATTATTCAATAAATATATAACATTTAGGCTATTGGTGGAGTTTAGCTGGATGCATCAAAGAAGGTGCTTAAGAGATTTTATTAATAGTCATACTCAGCGCGATAAGATTCAAGGTGTCACAATATCAAAATTATTTAATGATCTCTCAACATTCCATAATAAAATTCCATTATTTTTTTATGATTTGGTAAATAGAGACTATAGCAAATTTGATATGGCCAAGGAGTATCAATTCAAACTTGACCAATCAAATGACAACGAACAAGTTACAATACCACTTTTTAAACTATCTCCCACCGAAGGAGATATTTCAACTGTAATTCATTCAATATTTAACGAAATTCAAACTCTATCAAACTCAATCAAATATAGTAAGAAATACAGCAATAGTAAATCGAAAATTAATAATTTAAACTCATTGAAAGAGTAAGTAATTGTATTAAACCTAATTCAGAAATATTTATAATACTAATTAAATTTATTTTATTTTATAAACAGAAATGATTCATTATTAAATCTTTTTAAACAACTCTTTGACTATTCAAATTTTAACAAGAATGAAGATTTTTTTTCTACTCTGTTTAATTTAAAAAAGCAATATCCAAAGTATAGCGTTGATATAAAGTCAATCAAAGATCAGGCTTTAAATAAAAATTGTAAAGGAGACTTTTATGATTTATTAAAGAGATCCCAATTAATTAGACAAAAGATTCAAAAAGATATAGATGAAGTTATGCCAAATATTAGATCCATTCGAGATGATACTAGCAGACCACTCATTTATAATGAATTATTAAATAGAATATCATTGTATCATTTTATTATAGAATACGCTCATTTTAATCAGAAATTTCAATTAAGAGAAAGTTTAGAACAAATTAAATCAAGCCCCGAGGCTATCCACGAAATTGTAGAAAGATTAAAAGGACTTCACCAAAATGCTACTATGGACCTATACAAATTTGAACACTTACTCGTAGATAGACTTCAATTAGAAAAATACTTTTATCAAGAGTCAACATATACTTTGATCGATGGTAAAAAAGTTACTCTCAAATTAATGGAGTTCTCAAATGAACCAATTACAACATTTATATTATACTTTTTCAAGCAGGCTCAAGAATATATTCATGGCTTGAAGATTGGTATATTAAAAACAATTTTTAAGTCTTTGGATCAAAACTCTATCAACTTTCAAATCAATGAAATGATGAGGCTATTTCCCAAATATATCAACAGTCTTATAGTCATCAAAGAAACTGTTGCATCAAATCAGAAAGAAATAGAATCTATTATCGAGGTCTTAAAGAAACCATTATCAGTGACCTCAACCCTATCTTTTGATATAAAACCAAAGCTATCAATATTGCATCCTTTATATTCATCTTTTAGGTTACTCTTAGAATTTAATCATGCTTACCAACGAAAATGTTTAAAAGAACTCATTGGAGATAAAATTGATAAAAAACAATTACTATCAAAGCTTTTAATTCAACTAGATAGTTTCCACAATAGTTTATCGTTTGAATTCAACGATATTATAAAGAAAGATTATGATGGCCATACCAAAGATATCCTCAAACCATTCGAATTTTCATTAAATGGTAAAAAGCAAATCCCAATTCCATACTTTAAATTATCAACAGTAGAAGATTTATCAAATATTATCAAAGAATTACTAAACGAAATTATAAATACAGTTTATGATACTAGCGCAATTAAATCAAATATAAAAAGTGAAAGTAATCAATCTTATAATAATAATAATAATAATAGTAAAAAATTAAATGAAGACGAGCACCCACAACCAAAATCATCAGGAAATTCCTATGCGTCTATTGTATCATCACCACTACTCCAACCACAATATACCCCATCCTCTATACCATCACCTCCACTTCTAAATCAACATCAATATCAAATTCAAAACCAAAACCAAGATCAACATCAAAATCATCAAGATCATCAAGATCATCAAGATCAAGATCAACATCAACACCAACAACTAAAGAATAAATCAAATTGTTCCACAAACAATTCTATGGTTGATGTTGTCGGCGTAATATTAAAGTTTATATTTGATTATTCAAACTTTGGTGATGAGGAAAAAATATTTTCAGCTCTAATGGAAATGAGAACTAAATATGTTAAATACCGTGGTAGTTTATTAGATATAAGAGAGAATTTTATATACGATAAAGATTATTTTAGGGGGTTAAAAGAAAGAGTCGATATTGTTAAAAGAAATATCGAGGAACAACTAACCCATCATTTAAAGTCCAATGGCAAAGATTCAAACAGTATAATGGAATTTAAACCGATCTTTAAGTTGTTTATGTCATTCAGAGTCTTGGTCGAGTATAATAATTTCTACCAAAGAATTCAAATTAAAGAACGTTTAGACAACATCGATTCATCAGCATCACCTGAAACTTATAACTTAGCAATTAAGATATTACATGATTTAACTAAGATGCATTACCAAGACACTGGTAATGAAGTTGTTCAGTTGTTAAACGGTACGTTATTCAACTCTCCAATTTTCGATGCTGAATTCCATTATAGTTTGGATAGCACCAAGCAACTTACCTCTAGAGAATTTAAATTTGGTGGAGAACCAATTTCAAGTTATTATAAATTGTTTAGCAACCAAACTTTAAATTTATTAATGAATGAAACAAACGGCCAATACTTTACCGAAACTAAAGATAAAGTTAGCAATGAAAATGATGGCTCTGGTAATCATTTTATACCCGACAAACAAACCGATTCAGTTTGTAGTAATAATGTTTGCGTTGAGCAACAAATTTCCCCCTCAAAGATTTCGGCAACAAGAGAAGAGAACGAAAAGCTTTTAGAGGAAATTAGAAAACTACAAGAAGATATCAATAACTTAAAAATGCAACACCAAAACCAAGACCATCAAGATAATGAAGAGGATCAACCATTACCAACATCTTTTCAACAACCCGATATAACCAACAACAGCAACAATCAAAACATATTAAAGCAAATATTTCAATCGATAAGCGATACAAATGGACTACATGAATCAATTAATCAAATGATTTACCTGTACCCACAATATGCATCATCATTGAATTTAATGAAAGATTTATTAAACTCCACCAACTTTAATATCAAAATCGATACAATTAAAATGAATGCAATTAGAGAATTTAAACTGTTAATTAAACTAAATAATAATAATGGTTTTGATGATACCGATGAACAATCGATTACATCCGATATTTTATTCAATCTATATGTATCATTTAGAGTTATGTTTGAGTTTAGCTATATCCATCAAAAAAAACTATTAGAAACCTATATATCAAATAATAGTTTATATTTTAGAAATAATGGTATCCAAGATGACCAACTATTACAGAAAATAACCTATCAGCTAATGGTATTTCACAACTCTCAACCTGTTCAACTCAAAGATTTAATTCAAAGGGAATATTCCTGTCAGGTTGTCAAAGAATTTTACTTTAATTTCAATGGCCAAGTTGTTGTCTCTGATAATGATGATGGATCATCATTATTTTCAATTCAAACATTTAAACTATTTTCCGATAATAATTTAAATCATCTTTCAAACAATGATGATGATGATATTTCAATAGTAACCAAACAACTATTATTTGAAATTCAATCATTATCAAAATCCTATAATATTATTGATAATAATAATAATAATATCAATAATAACTAATTTATAATTTTATAAATTTTTTTTTTGAATATAAAATAAATAATTTAGAAAAATAATATTCTTTTTTAAAAAACTAAAAATAAAATTTTTATTTTTATTTTATCCTAAAATTTATATGTTCACAATTCTTTTTTTAGAATTTATTTGAAACCACACTTTTTATTCGGATATCAATTTCATTAAATAAAATTCCTCTCATAAAAAAAATAAATTATAATAATACACTTTTAATTCCTTTCTAAAATAATTATATTAATAAATTCATAATTTAATTAATTTTAATTTTTATTTTTTATTTCCGATGTAAAACCAATGTTAATTATTTTATTTTTTTTATTTATTTTTTTAAAATCAACTTAAAAATTTTTATTTATTTTTAAATTTTTTTATTTTTGCTGTAATAAACAGAAATATTAAAATTTATTTATAAATATATAAAAACTAAAAACCATTTATTTATAACCATTTCAAAATCATTAGAATTGGTTTTTTTTTTTTTTTATTTTAATTTTTTTTTTCGAAATTTTTTTTTTTTTTTTCCCTTTTTTAAAATTTTTTTTTCATTTTTATAAATTTTTTTAATTTATTAAAAGAGACAAACTTAAATAAATATATAAAATAATAAAAATTAAAATAAAATCTTAGATGACGATTATAATATAATTTATAATAATAAAATAATAATAGTATCACTTATATATAATAATAGTATATATAAATTAATTTATAGTAATTTTTAAAATGTCACAAAATGAAATTTTAAAATATATTTTTCAATCACCAACCGATGTAAATAAAATAATCAATAATATCAATGAAATAATTCAATTAAACCCAGAGTTTGAAGAAGATTTAAATGATGCAAAGAATGTATTAGTCAATGATATTAACCAAAATGTTCCAGATGATAGTGCAAAACCTTTATTCTTTAGCGATAAAATTAAAGAAATAAAAAACTATGTATTCCAAGAGTTTAACGAAATTGTTGAAAGTAACGAAGAGGTTTCATTAGATTTTCAAATCTTTTCTAAATTCATCAAAATTAGAATAATGATAGAATTCAATAATTTATACCAAAAAAAAAGTTTACACGAATTCTTTGGCCAAAATGACATTGAACAGCTTGTTAAGTGTTTAAGCGATATCTCTGAATTTCAAAGCAATTCTTTAATCAGTTTTTCCGATGTGCTCTCAAAAAAAGTTAACCCAGCCTCAATTTGTAAAGAGTTCTCATTTAGAAGAGGTGGTGATAAATATTTTAAAGTATCTATTCCAGTTTTTAAATTAAATGAAAAAGAAGATATTAAATTGGTAGTTTCAAGTTTATTAAATGAATTGTTGGCTCCAAAGCATCCACAACTTCAGTTGCCATTACAACCACAGCTTCAATTGGAATCACAACCAGAAAGCCCCCAACTATCAACATCATTACCAGCACAACAACCAATGATACCATCAACACCACACCCATCATTAACTGATCAACAGTTTTTAAAATTACAAGAGCAAATTCTTAAATTACAATTACAATTACAAAATCAAGAGAAAAAAACACAACCTCAGCCAATAGAGTTACAACCACAACAACCACAAGAAGAGAATGAGCAAGACAATAAAATTTTAAAAAAAATTTTCAAAATAGCAAACACAAACAAAATTATCTCATCAATTGATCATACAAATAAAAAATATCCACAATTTGGAGAAACTCTAAATAAAATACTTGATATCATTTCGAGTGGCAATACAATTGAAAGTGTTATCAATAATATCAAGAGGGATGCCAATATCGATTTTTGCATAGAGTTTGTATGTCCAAAAAGTTCATTAAGTGCCAATCCTTTGTTTGCAAGATTCACTGCTCTTGCTTTGATGGTAGAAATTAATAACATTTATCAAGTAAAATACCTTAGAGACATTTCAACTTCGAAATCCATTCTTCCTCAAGCTTTTATTCAATTATTAGAAGAAATTAAAGATTATCACAAGAGTACCTCTTTTAGATTCTCAAACATGGTCGATTCCAATGAACTTAAACGTGTTTATCACCAATCTATAATTCCTAAAGAGTTTAGATTTATTCATGTTGGTAATATTGTTTCAATTCCGGTTTTAAAGCTTCCAGGTTTTCTCAATGAAGATCTTACAATTATAATTCCGCAATTATATAACGAGTTACAAAATGATTGTCTTAAATACAAAGCAGATATTAATGGTAATCCTAATGGCAATGGTAATGCTAGCTTTAGTTCAATAGAAAAAACGCCATCATCAACATCTATATCTTCATCACATTTAATTTCAATTTTCAGCTCGTCAGTAAATAATCTTAAAGATATAATCGATATTATTGATGAGAAAAAAAAATCAAATCCTCAATACCTTCACAAATTCGTTTTATTAAAGAGTCTAATCAACAAAGATTTTGTTGCAAATATTCAACAAATAAAAAGAAAGACCAGCTCAGTTAAGGTTTCTCATTCAAAAGAAATATACAATTTATATATAACCTTAAGAACTATATTAGAATTTAATTTACTTTATCAACGTAAATGCATTGATGAAATCACTGAAGGTTCAACCCAACAGGAAAAGTCAAAATTATTATCAAATCTTTGTGATTTATATAAAAAAGTTCCAACTGATTTAAAACCATTAGTCAAATACCCAAATCCACTTGTTCAAGAATATACATTCAATTTTAATGGTAAAAAGAGTTTAGTTTCATACTTTAAAATTGATTCAGATGATTGCTTAAGAGCCTCAAACAATCTTTTAAATCAAATAAAACAAATTTTATCGGATAGAAAAATAGAATCGTTTAAGGATCAAGAAGAACAAGAGCAAGATCAAGAACAAGATGAAAATGAAAATGATAGTGAAGGTGAAAGTGAAAGTGATTATCAAGATTATAGTCATATATTTGATGATGAGGTTTACGAATTACCAAATATAGAGATCGATATTGGAAATTACAACATTAGAGAGTAGGTTTTTTTATAGTTTGTTAATTATTATACATATTAAACACAAATATTAACATGTTAATTTTTATTTTCTATAGAGATATACATACTTTATTAAAAATGATTTTTTCAAATCAAAATTTAAAAAGTTCAACAAGCTTTATTGATGGCTTAAGAATGTTGGATGTTGAAAAGCCAAGTTATAGCAAAACTTTGCAAAAAATTATTCACTTTGTTGAAGTCAATAAAGAGGAGTTTGAACATCAATTTATTCAAAAGATAAAGAGCTATCAAAACCTCATCATTAAAGGCGTTTCAAGTTTTAAAAAAACTGCTTTTTTAAATGAAACAAACCCTTTATATAAATGTTTTCTAAAATCAATCTATCTTTTTAGAGTATTATTCGAATTTAATGCCTTCCATCAAAAGATTCACATAAACGAACAATTGGCTACTTTAGGTTCATCAGCAACAGTCGTTAGAGATACTAATTTCAAACTATTCTCAATTCACAATACACTTAGGGATCAATTATTCAAAGTCCATTGGGTATGCAGAGGTTCATTCAAGACTTTATCCCATGAATTTACTTATTTATTGCCCGATTTGTCATCCGTTACAATTAATGCATTCGAAATTGAAGGAGAGTTTATTACCGATTTACTAGAGTCACTATTCATCGAAACCCATTTAATCATTTCAAAGATTTTAAATGTTGAACCATCCTATACTCCAATTATGAGACAAAGCAATAAAAAGTACATGAATTCTATAATTTCCTCAACTGATAATACTGATGACGAAGAAAAAGAACAAAAAGAAGAAAAAGTAGAAAAAGAAGAAAAAGAAGAAAAGAAAGAACCAATGTCGGCAATTGTTCCAAAAAAACAACTCTCAAGTACAACTACAACCACAGCCTCAACTATATTGAATACTCCAAAAACCGAAAATAAAAACTCCAAAACTTTTGATATTAGTAACGCTGGTAAAGAGGATGGTTATTATGATGAAAAGGGTAATTTTGTTGGAAACTTTTATGACGAAAAAGGAAGATATTGTGAATGTTTTTATGATGGCTTTGGTAATCATATAGAAGGTTATTATGACGATAATGATATGTACATCGAAGGTTACTATAATGAAGAAAACATTTTTGTTGAGACCTATAACGAAAATTTCGAAAATCCACCAGCAGTCGAATCAACTGAAAATGAAACTAATTCTGATTTTTCAACACCAACTCAAGAAACCCCAGATCATAATCAACTTGTAGAAGCTATGAACACTTTAGAAATAGAATCAAATGACTCACCAAAAACTTTTAGAACCAACTCAAATCCAACTTTAAAACCAAATATTTTATTAGATATTTTTAAAAATCCATCAATTGAAGGTATTGTTGATTCAGTTAATCAATATATTAGGGATATACCAAAAATTTCTAAAATCTTAAAAGAGATAAGCAAAATTATGCAATCAAATGATGGTAATAAGAAAATAGGCGACAAACTTGAAACAATAAAGAAAAATGCAATTACCCAAATCAAGAAAATTTTGGGTTCATTTGATGCTTCCATTTTTAATACCTACATCACTTTCAAAGTTTTACTAGATTTTAATAACCATTACCAAAGAAATTTAGTCAAAGATTTTGCTGAAGGTTTAAAAACATCTCCAAAAAAAATGGTGGAAATCAAAAAACAACTACTTTTTGCCATCAGTACCTTCCATAATTGTCTTCCATTAGCTATCAGTGATTTAGCTGACAGTAGCAAAACAAATGCTTCACAGGAAATCGATATCGCCAGAGTTTTTACTTTTAATTGCGATGAGGTACCAGTTTCAATTCCAGTTTATAACATTCCAGGTTATGAAGATATTCAAACTGTTCTTAAGGGATTACGTGACAAAATAGTATTAAATATTAGAAAAAAATTGGGTAAGTAAAAAAAAAAATAAAAAATAAAAAAATTATTTAAAAACTTTTCTAATATTATAATTAATTAATTTAAAGGTAAAGAACACTCTCCAACTGGAAGTTGGATTTTCAAGGAATTACCTCAAACAAATGTTTTTACCAACGACTCAACAAATATCAAAATAGATCCAATAGATCCAATAGATCCAACAGATCCAAACCTTTTCAGTCAAATTTTTAATACCCACAATCCAAAAGTTATTTTAGGAACCATTACTAGTTTAATGGCTAGTCATACAGATATTATCGTCGATTTATCCATGGCCAAAGATATCATGTTGGGAAAAGATGATGGGAAAAAAAATTTAGCTCATAAGTTTGAAATTATATTAAAACAATTAAAAGGAGATATGAAAGCTATGTATAAAGCTGATACAAGCGATATTGTTGGAAGTATTCTCTACCAGAAATATTTAAACTTTAGAATGGCCATCGAGTTTTCTCGTATCTACCAAAGAAAATGCCTTAAACAATTGTTGTTCCAAACTCCATCCAAAGTCACCCCCATCTTTGCTGAACTTAGTTCCCTACATAATAACACAAGTATATCACTCAAAGATATCTCCTCCAAAGAATATTCAAAAAAAATTTGCTCAAAATTTACATCACTCGATAAATCGATTGTCATTCCAACATTTAAATTGGGGGATCTTGGTATTTCTTCATTCATCAAACAATTATATAATGAAATCAAAGATTCAATAATTGAACATAAAGATATTTTAAATCCATCTAAAAAAGAAAAAAATCCCTCATCATCTAAACCAAAATCAACATCAGATAAAATGAAAAATAATAGAAAATTATCTAAAGAAGATGATGATATCGATTCATCAATTATTGAAAGAGATTTAATTAGTGATGATACAAAGAAACTTAAATATATTTTCAGAGATTCTTCAAATGTACAAATAATTATTAAATCAATTCAAACATTGTCCGAAGCTTGTCCAAAAATTTCAAAGAATAATACTGAACTTCAACAAATTATATTAGAGTCATTATTTAATTCAAGAATTGAACAACTTTATATTATTACTCAAAAAGAATTGCCAACTTTATTGAATATTCAAAAGAACTCAGAGGAGTATCAAATTATTTTCAATCAAATTTTATCTTCAAGGGTAATGTTAGAGTTTAGTAATAGTTATCAAAGATTTGTACTCAAGGGATATTGCAAACATGATATTCATGGTAATTCACAAAAATGGAAACATCTTTACGATCTTTTAAACAATTGCCATCAACCTCCAATGAACACCATCCATTTCATAGATGAAGATATTGAAAGATTCATTCCAGACAAGTGTAAATTCCTTGTTAATGAAAGTACAGAAAATGTCGAAATTCCACTCTTCCAATTTATCAATACTGATATTAGTATCATATTAAGATCTCTATTCCAAGACACTGTATCCATAATCAAGAAATTTAAATCCGGCTATCCAATTGAAAGAACTCTTTCAAATACTTGCGAACCCCAACAAAAAAATGAAAAACAATATGAAGAGGATCAATCAGAAGACGATGAATCCGATTCATCAACAGCTTCAAAAACACAAATTAAAATCGTTACCCCAGGTAAAATTAATCACATGAATTTTATTTTTAGAACCGTTTTTTCCTCACCATCTTGCACCGAAAATATCTTATCAACCATTGTTCAACTTTCGAAATCATATCCAAGACATGCAGAAAATCTAGTTGTTATCAAAAAAATTCTTGACGAATATGGTCATGAATTTAACACCAATATTAAAAAACAAAAAGAATCCCTAATTCGAGATATGGAGGATTTACTTAATAAGAAGGCAGATCCAAAGAGTTTTGAAGACATCAAAGCCGATTCACTTGTAGTTTTAGCCATGATAGAATTTAATCATCTAGCTCAAAAGTTTTATCTCAAAGATAACGTCGATCCATTTGAAAAAGAAGATTACAATTTCCTTTCAGAAGCCCTCAACAGACATTGTAAGAAAATCGATTTCAAATGTATTGAAAGTGGCAAATTTGACAAAGATTCCTGTAAAACATTTTCTGCAAATAAAGCTAATGGCATGGTTATTGAAATCCCAGTCATTACACTTCAAAAAACGAACGAATCAATTTTACTCATTGTTAAATCACTTTTTAACCATGTCAGTCAATCAATTAAAAAATACAAATCAAATGGTGGAGTTAATAAAAACAATAATCAAATATCACCAAGTAATCATTTATCAAATAATTATAATAATGACACCAACTATATATCTCAAACAAACAATGCTTTCAGGATTGCTCAAAGAGGTTCTAATGTATTGGATGATATTTGGTTACCAAATAATAATAATAATAATTCAAATAAAAAAACATCAAATACCCAAGTGGCAATCGAGGAAACATTTGAATTTGATCCAAGTCGTTTTACTAAACCAAAGGTTAATACTAAAAACAATGGATACCAACACGAATCTGTTGTTTATGGTTCAATTCATGACAAGGATGTTGGTGACAAGAAATATGATAATTTCGTTTATGGTAAAAATCCAAGTGGCATAAACAATAGTACTAATGATTCAAGTTTCCAAACATTCATTTTTAATGGCACCTCGAATTCTAAATTATCCTTAAATTCCAACAGTAGTACTAGTTCTATAGTTGATAATATTGCAAAGAGGTATCAAGAAAGGGAAGAGAAATATCCACCTTTAGATTCTAAAATAAATTCCAATACCAATTCAATTGTCGATATTATCGCTAAAAAGTATCAAATTAATAAAGGACTTTCATCAACCATCACCTCAACTCCAACTCCAACTACAACTACAACTACAACTTTTGCTCAAGCTATCAAACAGGTTATTAATGACACACCCTCAATAACTCCAACTCCAACCCCAACTCCAACTCCAACTCCAACTCTAACACCAACTTTTGCTCAAGCTATCAAACAGGTTATTAATGACACAACCTCAACTACTCAAACTACCGACCCGGCTGTTCCTGAAAGTGAAAGTGAAGGAGATGGTTATTATGACGAGTTAGGAAACTTTATTGGTACCTACTATGATGACAATGGCACTTTTACTGAATGTTATTACAACGATTTCGATACATATGTTGAGGGTTTTTATAATAGTAACAATGTTTGGCTTGAAAGTTATAAAAACAAAAATGGTATCTATGTTGAAGGTTTCTATAATAAAAATGGAACTTATGTTGAAAGCTATACCGACAATGATGGAAATTATATTGAAGGTTATTATAACAAACATGGCAACTATGTAGAAGGTTTTTATGATGAACAAAATAGATATATCGAATGCTACTATGACCAAGAAGGCTTCTATATTGAAGGTTACTATGATGACGATGGTTATTATATCGAGGGTTATTATAACGAAAGTAATGATTTCATTGAAACCTATAACGAGAGAAATGAATCAGAAGAAACCGAACAAGAAGTTGAGAAAGAAAACAAACAAGAAGTTAAAGAAAACATCGAAAAAGAAAACATCGAAAAAGAAAAAGAAACTATTGAAGAAATCGAAGAATACTTTGAAGAAGAAGAATATAAAGTAAATAGCAATAATAATATTTTTAATAGTAATAACGAATATGAACCAAACAATCAGGATAATGATTACTTTGTTGATGAATATAACGAAGGTGGTAGTGAATATCGTAATTCAAAAATTTTAAACAATCCAGAATCACCATTAATTAGAGACCAAGTCGATGTAACCTCAATGAATAGTCAAGCAATTATCGAAGTCTTTTTAAAATCCGACCCAACCAGAATCAGTTTACTTCAAGCCAATAATATTGTTTGTGTTCCAGATAACTTCTCAAGCTATGACCAATATAAGAATACATTCAAGCCACTCATTGTCGAAGAGTTTAGAAAAGCACTCGAAATTAACTTTTGTGAAATTGATGGAGTTTCATTAAATGGAGATGGATCAATTTGTGGTTTAGAAAATATTGATATGAAATCATCGATTACAGTTCACTCAATTGTAGAAACTTCAGAAAAATCACTTACAGCTATTCTTTACGTAACAGTTTTAAATAAGAACGAGGGATTTTTAGTCAATGACTTGGTTTTATTCAAAGCACTCGATGATGATCAAAATCCTGTATTTACATTATCAAGAGTAACTAATCACGGTTTAATAAAAGGTTCGCAACAAAAAGTTCATTGCCAATTTGTAACCTCTAAACATACCAAAATTTTCATCGAAAAGCTCTACGAAATCTCAAGTCAACATAAATATCACAAAAGAGATTACCAAAATCAACTATCCCTAACCGGTTCAAATCCACTTTATCTTATCAAGGTCTCAAGCTGTGTTACATTCCATAGAGAATTAGATGCATTGGACAATATTGGTGGATCCCATTTGATTGACTTGTTACTCGAGCCAACTTTAGAAAAATTCGAACTATTAAAAGCAAAGAAATGGGAGATTCCAGAATCATTAAAAGAACATTATAGTACAATCTTAAATTCATCCCAAATTATTGCTATCAATGAGTCTTTATCACACGAAGGTGTCAATTTAATTCAAGGTCCACCAGGTACCGGTAAAACTCATACTGCCCACTCTTTAATATCAATCCTTTTAGCTGCTGATCCAAAATTAAAAATTTTGGTTTGTGGTCCATCACATGCTTCTGTTGATGAGGTCGCAAAAAGAATTTTAAAAAAAAAATTGTTAAATCCATTAGGTCAATATTATTTACCAAAGATGGCACGTCTTGGTCTTCCAGATACTATTTCACCATTAGTTAATGAAATTGCAATATTCCCATTAAGCAGAGAAGAGAGAGTAAAGGCTTTAAATAGCGCTAGAGTTTGTTTTGCAACTTTATCAGGCAGTGGTTCACAATTAATTCAAAAACTATTCAAACCAAATGTTGTCATTATTGATGAATCAACTCAATCAGGTGAAACCTCAAGTATTGTTCCGCTCTCATTAAATGTTAAAAAAGTAATTTTAATTGGTGATCCAGTTCAATTACCACCAACTATTTTCTCTAAAGAGTCTATTCAATGCGGTCTAGGTAATTCATTATTCGAAAGATTATCAAAAGTTTTACCAATATCAATGTTAAATATTCAATATCGTATGCACCCATCGATTGCCAGATTCCCCTCATCAGAATTTTACATGGATAAACTAAGAGATGGCGAAAATGTTCAAAGATATTCAATGCCACTTTATTGTGATAACCCAGAAAAACAAAGTTTATTGTTAGGTCCAATTGCATTCTATGATATTACCGATAGCAGAGAAGAACGTGGCAAACACTCAATCAAAAACAATTTAGAAATTGAATTAGTATTTACACTCATCAAAAAGATTGTCCAAGAACATCCAATCTGTTCGAAATTTTCATTTGGTATTATTACACCATACAAATTACAAAGATTCTCCATCGAAGAAACCCAAAAACATATTAATGAACCATTAGATATCGAAGTAAATACTATTGATGGTTTCCAAGGTAGTGAAAAAGATATTGTCATTTTCTCTTGTGTTAGAAATGAAAGAATTGGTTTCTTGAGTGATAGAAGAAGAATCAATGTCGGTATCACCCGTGCCAAATATGCTTTAATTATTGTCGGTAATAAAGATCTCCTTCAAAAGGATCGTACCTGGGGTCCATACATCGATTATATTCAATCAATTGGTAGAGTAAAATCAATCGACACTCAATTTGTTAGAGTTTTACAAGAAGAAGTTTCTAAGTTTGATAGAATACACCCAGAAGGTTTACTTAATGATTTCGATATCAGTTACAACGACGAAGAAGAGCCAATAGATGATAATGAACGTAGATTTATTTGCCAAGATGACGATGAAGATCTTTTGGATGAAAGCGATAAGAATATTATTATCAATGTTGATAAAAACGGCACCTCATCAAGTAATACTTTTTTCAAACCTGTAGCTGCTGATGAAGATGATGAAATACAAATTATTATTGACGAAGAGTTCCCAAGATATTTTATTGAAGTTATCGAAGAACTAATTGCCGCAAGTGCATTAAAGATCGATTCAAACATTCTAATTAAAAAGAAATCACTAAGAAGAAATTTCTTAGAGTATCAAAATAGATTACCCGAATATTTCAAATATATTTACAACAAGTTCCCATTGGTAAACTATCAAACTGATACAATCTTAACCAACAAATTATTTGCTTTCGCAAAAACTGTTGAATGTAATAAGAGAACTATCAAAGAAGAATGCTTTGGTCGTTTAAAGAAATATTTAATTAGCGGCTTTTCAAATAGCAATATTAGCATTTTAGGTTCATATCTTTATGATTTAGCTTTAACCGATAGTGATTTAAATGTCAACTTTACAATCACAGAAAAAGAATCAGATATTAGAATTTACAAACAAGTTTCAGTATTTTTAGAGAAAAATGGAAATTATAAGGTTCAAAGCAAGAGATTTGAAGATCAAATACCAGTTATTAGATTCATCGATATTCAAAAACGTATTCAATTCGAAATGAGTTTCAACTCTCAAATGGGTTACCACAAATCATTACTCATCAAAGAATATGTAATGAGTGACTCAAGAGTCAAATCATTAACTCTTTTAGTTAAACATTGGGCCTCTCAAAAAGATATCAACGATTATGAAAAGGATACTTTCTCATCATTCTGTTTGGTTAACATGGTTATCTTCTTCCTTCAAAAAACCAATATTTTACCAAATCTTTCCGAACCATCACAAGAATCCCTTATTCCAAATAAATCTCAATTAAAGGCAAACTGTAGAGTCGAAAACAATTTAGTTAAATACTATGATATCACAACATTAATCATTGATACAAAGAAACTATCAGTTTCTTCACTTTTATACAAATTCTTCCACTTTTATTGTACCTTTGATTTCAAAAATAATCATATTTCAATTACCAATATTCCATTCGATAGATCGCAGTTAAAAAATCAAGATTCACCAATTATCGTTTTAGATCCATTTATTGAAGGTAAAAACTTGGCTCAATCAATTACCCAAAATACATTTGAAAATATCATGACAGAATTTGCAATAATGGAATATAAATTAAAGCAATTTAACAAACCCAACTATGCTAAATTTAATGATACCAAAGAAATCTTCGATGAAAGCTTATCATTATCTTCAAATGGTTTTTAGATACAAATTAACTCACTCTTTAGGTTGCCACACACTTTTAGAACCAAAATATTAATAATCAAAATAAAATTATGTTTAAATTTAAAAAAAAAATAAAAAAATTATAAATCTTTATTAAATTGTTTAAATATTTCTTGAACATTAGTTTTATCATTTTCCTCGACTTTTTGTTGCTCTTGTGGTGGTGTTTGAATTTGTAAATTAAGATCCTCTTCTTGAGTGGTTGATTTTTCTTTTTGTATATTTTCTCTTTCATATTTGAGGAACTTTTGAACAATCTTTTCATGTCTTAAAGATGGGAAAGTTGCTAAAACTTGATATAAATCTACTTCTTCGTCTTTATTATAATCTTCTTCCATATCGTCTAATAAATCGTCTTCGTTAGTTTCAATTGAATTATTGTCATAGAATAAACTGGAGTATTTGTTTTTTAATTTATTTCTAGTTTTTTCAATTGATTTAACCCTGTCAACAAATAATTGTGTAAATTCAATTGGAACCAAATTATCTAAAATATCTATTGTTGTTTCATCTTTGATTTCGTCTTCATCCTTGATAAACAAAATATCTGGTACAAATTTAGCTTGAACTCTTTTACCTATAATCCAACGAATACGACTTTTTAATTTTAATAAACGATGAGATATATCTTTATCTGTAATTTCATAGAATAAAGTTCTAATTTTCTTATTTCTTCTAATTTCGATATCTTCTTTACTCTTTTTTGTCTTTTTCTTATCATCTTTTTCTTCTTCTTTTTCATCAATATTATTACTATTTTTACTATTATTATCATTGATTATATCATTTATTTCATTTTTATTACCTTTTAATTGAAGTAATAAAGGATCATTTTCTATACCATTGTTATATTCTATACTATTATCACCACTATTATCACCACTATTATAACTATCTAAATTAAATGAACTATTATTTTCACCACCGACTTGGTTATTTGATAATAAACTTAAAATTAATTTTTCTCTTTTTTCTAATTTTTCCTTTTTCTCTTGTTCCTCTTGTTCGAGTAATTTCATATTTGATTCTTTAATTGAAATTTTTAATTCTAATTTTTTATTTGGAATGGAAAAACTGTTTTTAAAACCAAATGTATTATTTTGTTTTGGTTGTTGTTCATCTTCTTGATATTTTAAATTTGTTGAAACTTTTGAACCAAATTTACTACTTGATATAATTTCATTTTCTTCCTCCTTCATAATTGGTTTGAATGAATCATATACCAATTGCTTTGCTGAATTGGTGCCCAATGAATCTAAAATACTCTTTATATTTTCGTTCTTTACTTTTTTAATATTATATAAAGCATCTTGTTTAGCAAAGTCATCAATTGATTTATGTTTGTTTTCATTACCATTTATATTTGAATGTTCTCTACGCTTCCAATATAACTTTACCCAACGTAAATCACTGCTCATTTCGGCATGAGTTAAAACGATATCTGCTTTTGATAGAATTGGGTCCTCTTTATCTACTTGAAGATCGTCAGAATTTATATTGAAATTTCCACTATTACCAACTTGGGAACCGATTGATTGTTGAGCTGCTAACATTTGTAAATTGTTATCGAAATCTGTATCACTCTCAAAATTGAACTCTGATTCGGCAATGTTTGAATTTAAAAAACTTACTGGACTGAATAATGGCGACTCGTTTAATACCTCTAAAATTCTACTAGCCATTCTACTTTGCACAATAGTTTGACCCACGAATTGATCATTTGGGTTATGATTAACCTTGAAACCACGTTTAGTTTTAGTTTGATTCTTTGCTTCTTTAAGTTCGTCGAGTTTTCTAAATAAATTCTTTTCCTTACGATTATTTGGTGCGTCTGGTGTTAAGAAATAACTTTCGTAATCACTAGTGATTAAATAATCATCAGAAAAATAATTACCATTACGTTCTTCTAAACCTTTTTTGCTTAATTCCTTTTTCTTTAAATCCTGAATCTTTGGTCCATCATCGTCATTAAAATCCTTTTTCATATCTAGCTCTACCCATTCTTCGTTACCATCTAATTTATCGCTGAATGATGAATTACCCAATGATCTTTTAATAAACTCGCTATCTTTTGAAGTATCAGTAGAATATGTAATTTTTTCACTATAATAAACCTTTCGGTTGTTTGGGGTTTGAGCATAGTCATCGTCGTCATCGTCGAACCTATCACCTTTTTTTGCGGGTGTATCATCTAAAATATCGTCAATTTCTTCATCATCCATTTTAAACTCTTCTTTTAGTACTGCTGCCTGATCGGATCTACCAACATTCCTTCTTTTAATTAAACCACTGTATTTATATTGAAACTCCATTGCCTCTTGCATATCGCTCTTTGAAATGTGGTTTACCTTAATCTTTCTATTCATGCTGCTTTTTCTTTTCGTATTTTTTAAAATCGATGCTGTTGAATAGTTATTCTGGGTTAAATCATTTCCATATGATTTCAAAAATAAATAGTTTTTATTATAACTGTAACTATTATTAACTATTAAATTTTTGATGCCACTGGTGATATTATTGGCATTTCCTTTTTTGTTATTGTTTAATATAATTTTTAACATTTTTTTTTAATTATTTTTTTTTTCTAAAAAAATAAAAAAGAAATAAAAGATAAAAAAAATACTAAAAATATAAAGTATTATAATAATTAATTATTATTTAATTGTTATAAGTAAGTACAAATATATATTTTATAAAACCACAAAAGCATTCTTTCGTTTTTTCAAGATTTTTTTTTTTTATTTTTTTTTAAAAATTTAATAAATAATTTTTTTTAAAATTAATTTTTTTTTTTTTTTTTTTTTTTTTTTTGAATTATTAAAAAAAAATATTTTTATTTTATTTTTTAATATTATTTATTTTTTCTTTAAACAAATTACTTTTTTTTTTTTTTTTTTATAAAATTGTACAAATAATATAATATAATAATATAATCATTTACAGATATAAAAAAAAATTTATGAGTAGTTTGTTAAATATAATGTTTTTTTAAAATAAAATAAAACAATATTTTTTTAATAGTTTATAATTTATAATAAAATAATAATAAAAACAATATATAAAAAATTGCTTTTTTATTTAGAACATTCATTGGAAGGAGATTTTCAAACTCCTATCCAAAAGAGGAACCACCAGAAATATTAAACGAACCAATTATATCGACCACTAAAAATTATTTAAACTCTCCTTCACCCTCCAATAGTACACACTCCTCTCCTAGTAATTATAACAACAACAATATTATTAGTAGTGGTGGAAAATTTAATAACAACAAGATAAATTCCACAGAAATTCAATTAGATAATTTAGATAGCTCAGGATCAGCATCAGATTTTAATTCATATTCACCAAGACAAAGGAATAAAACAAAGCAAGTAGTTATTGTTAATAATAATTCACCATCGTTAGCAATGTTAAATAGCAGTAGTGGTAGTAATAGTAGCAATAATAACACTTTCTCATATCCAGCTAATCATTCACCACCATCATCAACTTTTTATTCTCAAACAATGACTAATATGGGTAGTACAACTGAAATAGAAATTATAGATGGAGATAAACCAAACCAGAACTCACCATTAATTGGTGTACCAAGATCTAGTTATAGTGAATCTAATCATGATGTGGATACTAGGACATCTCTTGAAAAATTTAAAGATTTCATTCTCGGAAACCATGTTTATTTAGAAAGAACTATTGATTTAGATATGGATCAACAAAGAAAAAAGTAAATTATATTACATATATTTTATTTTCAACAACATTATATCCCATTAACACTTTTTTTTTTTTAGATATCCGCCAAATGTTGTAAGAAATCAAAAATATAATCTATATTCTTTTATTTTTGTTATTCTTTATGAACAATTCAAATATTTCTTTAATTTATATTTCCTTTTAGTAGCATTATCACAATTTATTCCCCCACTTCAAACAGGTAATATATTAATTATAAAAAAAAGATTTTTTAAAATTCAAAATATTAATTTTTTTATTTTTAAAAACCATAGGTTATTTATTTACATATGTTTCACCATTAGTATTTGTTTTAGCAGTTACAATTTTCAAAGAAGCATATGATGATTTTAAAAGATTTCGTAGAGATAAAGAAGCAAATTCACAACATTATCAAAAATTAACTAAAAATGGTTTAGTATCAATTCCAAGTTCAGATATCAAAGTTGGCGATTTAATCAAAGTTGAAACCAATCAAAGAGTACCATGCGATATGATTTTCCTCAAAACTACAGAGAAGAATGGTTCATCTTTCATTAGAACTGATCAATTAGATGGTGAAACTGATTGGAAATTAAGAAGATCTGTTGGTATGACTCAAAAGCTATTAACCGACGAACAATTGTTCGAAATGAGTGCTTCAATTTATGCAGAAAAACCAAAGAAAGATATTTATAATTTTATTGGTAATTTCATTAATAAAGAAACTGTATGTATATTTTTACTATGGCCATTTAAAATATAGAAATATATTTTTATTAACTAAAACTATTAAATTTTAAAGGGTGAAACTGAAGGTTTAAGTGTAGAAAATACTTTATGGTCAAATACAGTTATTGCAAGTGGTAATGTTATTGGTTGTGCAGTCTATACTGGAAGAGAAACAAGATGTGTTATGAATACAAGTACACCATCAACTAAAGTCGGTTTATTAGATAACGAATTAAATAACCTTTCAAAAGTTTTATTTGTTCTCTTATTATGTCTTTCATTGTTAATGATAACATTAAAAGGTTATAGAGGCCATTGGTATATTTATCTTTTTAGATACCTCCTATTATTCTCTGCTATTATCCCAATTAGTATGAGGGTAAATTTAGATTTAGGTAAAACTGTATATAGTTGGATGATGATGAGGGATCCTTTAATACCGGGTACTGTCGTTAGAACTTCAACCATTCCAGAAGAGTTGGGTAGAGTAGAATATCTTTTAACCGATAAAACTGGTACTTTAACTCAAAATGGTAAGATAATAAAATATTTAATAAAATAAATAAACAATAATATTAATTCTAATCTTTTCTTTTTTATATTAGATATGGTTTTTAAAAAATTACATTTAGGTACAGTATCTTATTCAAGTGATAGTATACAGGAATTAGAAAATGATTTAAGACAATCCTACACAAATCAAAATAATTTAAATAATAGTTCAAGTGGTACAAATAATCAAACTAATACCAATAATAAAATCAAACCAAGAAAAAATTTAAATCAAAAAATTAAAGAAGCAATTACAGCTATTGCATTATGTCACAATGTCACACCAGTTTTAGATGATGGCAGTGAAGAGATTCAACTTAATCTTGATAAGAAAAAGAAAAAGAAAAGATTTTTTGGAAGAAAACAATATGAAACATTAGATGATGAAGAAGATTCAGGCTCCACAAGTAGAAACTCAACAGGTATTAAAAATAGATCCGATAAATATGACACACAAGAGTCACAACAAGATATCCTTGGTAAAACCCAAAACTATCAAGCCTCAAGTCCAGATGAAATTGCTTTGGTCAAGTTTACAGAGTCAATTAGATTGATTTTAACAGGTCGTGAATTAACCACCATAACTCTTTTAAATCCATTAGGCGAATTAGAAAACTACGAAATTTTAAATATTTTCCCATTCACATCAGAAACCAAAAGAATGGGTATTATCGTTCGTGACAGTAGTGGTGTAATTACATTCTATATGAAAGGTGCTGATGCTATTATGGCCAAGTTGGTTCAATCAAATGATTGGTTGGATGAAGAATGCGGTAACATGGCAAGAGAGGGTCTTCGTACTTTAGCTTTTGGCAAAAGAGTAATGAGCGAAGAAGAATATCATAATTTTTCAAATGCATATGCCTTTGCTAAAACTACAATCGCTGACCGTGCTGCTAAAGTTCAAGAAGCAATCTCCACAATTGAAAAGGATTTAGAGCTAATTGCTCTTACAGGTGTCGAAGATAAACTTCAAGCTAAAGTCAAACCAACTCTAGAAATGCTCAGAAATGCCGATGTAAAAGTTTGGATGTTAACTGGTGATAAAATTGAAACTGCTACATGTATCGCTATCTCTACCAAGTTAGTATCAAGAACCCAATCACTCTTCCAAATCTCTGTTAACGATAAGAATAGAGCCCGTGAAAAATTAAACCAATTTGCAAGTATGAGAGATTCATGTTTAGTTATTGATGGTCCATCACTCCAATTATGTATCGATAACTTTAAAGACGATTTTATGGCAATCTCAACCAAAGCACCATCAGTGGTATGTTGTCGTTGTACACCAACCCAAAAAGCTGATATTGTAAGATTAATCAAAGAGAAAACTAAAAAGAGAACCTGTGCAATTGGTGACGGTGGTAATGATGTATCTATGATTCAAGCTGCTGATGTCGGTATTGGTATTGTTGGTAAAGAAGGTAAACAAGCTTCATTAGCCGCCGATTTTTCAATCACTCAATTTAGTTTTATTGCAAATTTAATTTTATGGCATGGTAGAAACTCTTATAAAAGATCTGCTCGTTTATCACAATTTGTCATTCATCGTGGTCTTATCATTTCATTCATCCAGTGTGTATTCTCTGCAATCTACTATTTTGCAGCTATTTCAATTTACAATGGTATGCTTTTAGTAGGTTATGCTACTCTTTACACCAATGCTCCAGTATTTTCATTAGTATTGGATGAAGATGTACCAATGGAGATCGTTTTCCGTTATCCAGAGCTATACCACGAACTTCAAAAAGGCCGTTCTTTATCCTACAAGACATTCTTTATTTGGGTATTAAAATCAGTTTATCAAGGTGGGGCCATTATGTTACTTTCTATTATTCTCTTTGAAAGCTCACTCAATAACATTGTATCAATCACTTTCACCTCTTTAATTCTCTGCGAACTTTTAAATGTAGCTACAGAAATTAATACATGGCATCGTTATATGATTGGTTCTTTAATTGTAACATTATTATCCTATATCATTACCATGATGATCCCTCAACTTTTAGCTTTCGAATTACAATTCATTCTTTCTTGGGAATTTGTTTGGAAAGTATGTGTAATCACATTAGTCAGTTGTTTACCACTATATATAATTCAATTCATTAAAAGAAAAATAGATCCACCATCATATACAAAATTAATTTATAGATAAAATATAAATTAAAATAAATTAAAAAAATAAAAATAAAATAAAAAAAAATAATAAAATTAAAAAAAACTAGATAACAAATAAATAATAAAACTAATTTTAGTTATTATATAAAAAATAATTGTACATTTATTTATCCATTAATTATTTAATATGTTATTAAATAAACTTTGTTTTGATTTCTTACTTCTTCCGGCTTGTTGTGGTTGCTGTTGCTGTTGTTGTTGTTGTTGATGGTGTTGTTGTTGATAATTTTTATGTTGATGGTGTTGTTGTTGTTGATGGTGTTGTTGTTGTTGATGGTGTTGTTGTTGGTGTTGTTGGTGTTGTTGGTGTTGTTGTTGATGGTGTTGTTGTTGATGGTGTTGTTGTTGTTGTTGTTGTTGCTGTTGCTGTTGCTGTTGTTGTTGTTGTTGTTGTTGTTGTTGGTGTTGTTGTAGTTGCTGTTGTTGTTGCTGTCTCATCGATAATGAATGGGTTAATGAGTTGGCGTTAATTGGTTCGGTTGGGTTCTCTAAAAAAAATACCAATTCGTTTACATAACAAAATGTTTTTTCATCTGGATTTTTCAAGGATCTAAAGTTAAAAAAAAAAAAAAGGTTAAATAAAATAAAAAGAAAATAAAAAATTATTGATATTACTTACTTGAATTCGTCAATTACTAATGCTAATAATACCTTTGTTAGATTTGGTTGGTAAAGTAATGCTAAAACTCTAATTTTTTCACATTCTATTATTAATGATTCTAATTTTTGTGGTAATGATTTAAACAATCTGCTTATTTTGGTAAATTCATTTTGAATTGTATCGCTCTTAATGAAATTTATACCGTTAAAATCAGCAACTGTGTTGTATGATAAAGGATATATTGATTGTGGTTCGGAGAATGGTTGGAGTGGAGGTGGTTTTACTTGGGCCAATGAGTTTACATACTGTTGATGTTGTTGTATTTGTTGAATATGTTGTAGTTGATGTTGGAAAAAGTCGTTTAGATTACCAATTTCAAAACTATCCAAATCATTTGTTAAATATGGTAAATCAATTCCCGGTTCAAATACACACAGCGATAAAATTGGAACATCGCTATCAAATGTGGGAATAATCATACCATACCATCCCTCTTGAATATAAACCAATGCTGTAACGTTTTCGCTTCTGAGTATACTTAAAAGCACTGAACAAAATGGAGGTAAACTATTGCCATTCGATGAGTCAGAGACCAATGGAATAATTAAATATCTTGATAAAGCTGGTGTATTATAGATTGATTTGTTAGGTAAGAATCCAACGATCGATAACGACATTAATGTTTTATATGCTGGTTGTGTTGATGATAAATTGGATGCTGATGGATTGGTGGTTGTGGTTGTGGTATTAGTAGTGGTTGGAGTTGTGGAAGAGGGTTGTATTATTATACCACTATTATTACTATTCAAATTTGTTACTGATGAAATTGCATTGTTGCTATTTTCTGATTCAATATTATTTAAAAAGTTTAATAAGGTTATTGGTGAGGGATAAAATGATAGTGGGGTGCTTAATCTACCAAATGCTAAAACACTTTTATAAATTGGGAAAGTGAAATTTATAATTTTTTCCATTATGCTTTGCAATTCGCCTTTTATTCTGGCGCCAGTATGATCGATGTTGTTTATATTTGTTTTTACGAGATCTTTTGAAATTTTAATGATGTCTATTGTGCCCTTGAAATTATCATTGATAATCGCATTATAATCATTATTCTTGAATAGTTTTAGCTGGTTCTTTTGTAATTTGCTTGCAATATATTTGTCGTCAATTTGGTTCTCTATTTCTGTTAAATATTTTTTGTTGTGGGAATAGTGGTCTTCATGTATGCAAATTGAAAAGAAATGAAATTGATGAACAAATGGAAACTGAAAATCTATTAGGCTTTCATAAATTTTACTATCCGTGTCAAAAGATGTGCATTGATCAGTAAATATAAATATTTCATTTGATATACCACTTGAATTTCCAAATTGATTTTGAATAATTTCGACAGTTCTTTCTAAGGCAGTTAAAAGATTGGTTTTGGCGCCTAATCTGATATCCAAGTTTATAAATTCATCCAAGAAATTATTAAAATCTCTGCTAAATGGTAACAATACATTTACCTCTGTTGAGTATGTTATTAAAGCGATGGGATCTAGCATATAATCACTTGTTTTCTCTTTGGTGCCTTCTATTAAATAATGTATTGCTGATTTAAAATAATCTAAAAATCTTTTATTGGCAATTTCTGGTGGTTCTTCATAATAGCTATTTGGATCTGTATTGATTCTAAATATTGATTGTGCCATCGACAATGATAAATCTAATAACAATATAATAGCCATTTTTAATACATATAGTAATTATTATAATTATTTATAATTATTTTTAAATTAATTTTTTAAAAAAAAATGAAAATTATTTTTTTTTATTTTTTTTTTTTTTTTTTTTTTTTTTTTAAATTTTATTTTTTCATAATTAATTTTTATCTTTATTAAAATAAACTTTTTATTTTTTTTTTTATTGTGGGTATTTAAACAATTCTGAGAGATTCATTTTGTTAATATAAACTCAAGGAAAGATTCATCAAACAATGGAACTCAAACACTAAAATAATATACCAAATAAAATAAATATAATAAAACAATGTTATTGTAATAATTTAAAAACTATTCTTTTATTTTATATCTTTTAAAACTTTATTTGATAGTCATTTAAAGCTTTCATATAAACTAGGACTATTTCCATTGACATTACTTGTTGGTTGAACAAACCATCTTATTGAATATTCTGTTTAAATATAAAGAATTAATGATAGATAACCAAGATACTGTATTTCCATCATCTTGTTTGTTTATAAAAGAAACGGAATATTATTGATTCCATTTCTTTGCAATTTCGTTACTTTTATCTGTAGAGTCAATTATAAATATGAGAATTATAATAACTTTTTTTTCTTTAAATAAATACAATTTTTATATTTTGAATTTTATTTTAAAATCATATTTTTTTTTATTAATAATTATCCTTTTTTTTTATTTTTCATTATCTATTATTTTTTGGATAAAATTCCCAGGTGATACAAAAACCGATATCAATAACGATGATTTTCGAAAGTCAGTATAAATAACATCCAAAAACAATCGAACATATTAAAAAATAATTTTTTTTAAAAATTTTTATTTTTTTTGATTTATAACCAGCCGCTGTGTAATTTTTTTGTAAATATTTACATAGTTATTTGGGAATAAAAAATTTTTTATTTTCTTTTTTTCAAAACATTTTTTTTTAAACATGAAAAGTTTTATTTTTTTTTTAAACATGAAAAGTTTTATTTTTTTTAAATCATATTTTTTAATTATTTGAACTATGTCTCAAATTAAAAAAAATTTTAATTGGGTTAAAAAACCTGCATACAAAGAACATCTTAAAAACATCATGAAAAATAAAATCGGTATAAAAAACGATTTAATTTATTTAACAGAACAAATGAACAGTAATAATGAAAAAATTTTCTTTACCAAAGCATCTATTCAAAACATGGTGTATAGGATTGAAAAAGAAGAAAAAGAAAAAGAAGAAAAAGAAGAAAAAGAAGAAAAACAAGAAATAGAAAAAAGATATAAAAGATTTAGATATATATTTTGGGTATCAGTACCGTTAATAGTTATATTTCTCATCTGGATGAATAAAACCACAGTTAAAAATATTTACGAAAATATATACAAAAATAAATTTATTCCTGAAATTTTAAATTTTTTTAAAAAAAAGATGGCTTTAAATTATAAATAGAGTTCTAAAATTATCTTTATTTTCTTCCGATTACCATAAGCGTGTTCATAAAAAATATTCCAAAAAAATAAATTATCTCTTTTTCAACTTTTTTTTTAAAAAAAATTATTATTAATTTTTATTCTTTTTATAAAATTTTAGATCTAAAATTATCATTATCTTCATTTTCCTCCAATTATCGTTTTCTTCATTTTCTTCCAATTATAGTAAATGTATTCATTTAAAATATTTCAAAAAATATTATCTCTTTTTTACAATATAATATTTTAAAAAAAAATTAAAAATTCATTTAAAAAAAACTATCATATTTTTATTTAAAAAAAACATACCAATGGTTTTATTTTTTCGTAATTACCATTAAACTAAAAATACAATATTCATTTTAAATAATAAAAACCTCAAACAATACAAAACCAAAAGAAAAGAGAGACTATGAAAATTATCTTTTATATCACTGGGAAGATTTATACAAAAAACCTAAAATAATTAAAAAAAGATAAAAATGGATTATAAAAAAGGATAATAAAAAATAATTAAACATTTTCTTTTGATTTTGGTTTCAGTAAATATGTGCTATATTATTTTATATTGAATATTGTTTTGAAAAAAAAAAAAAATTTTAAAAAAATAAAAAATAAATAAATTAAGATAATTCAAAAAATTAAATATTTGGAAAAATCTGATTTAAAATTTTTTTTTTTTTTTTTTTTTTATTTTGAGAAAAAAATTCGAAAAATCTGATTTAAAATTTTTTTTTTTTTTTTTTTTTTTAAAAAAAATTTTATTTAAAAAATAATTTATAGTTAATAATAATTTATAACCCATAAAATAATAACCATGCTTCCAAAAATTATCTATGATCAAATAATTAATATACTATTAAACTATTATTTATGTGATCATTTTAGTTATAAAAATAAATATTTAATAGAAAATTATAGTTTATATAATATAGAAATTGTTAACTTATGTTGTGTATCAAAACAATGGTTCGATATGGTATCAAAAAATATTTCACATACTCTTTATTGTAGTAGTGAATTGGATGATTGGATAGATACTATCTATAAAAATGTTAAAACTAGACTTTATAATATAATAAATAACGATATTATGGGTGAATTAATGTTTAATACAATTACATTCGATTCATACTTTGGATATAAAAACTATAAAAATAAAATAGAAAATAATATTAAAAATTTTAATAATAATAATAATAATAATAGTTTAAATAATAAAACAATAATAATACAGTATAGGGGAGAATATGGATTAAAATTTGATAAGAAATGTTTAAATGAAATTATTAAAATTATAGAAACTAGTGAAGAAATACCATCAAATGTAGAGTTTAATTTAGAATTTTTTCATAATATCCAATTTTCTGGAAATATTGATAAATATCAACAACTTTTAAAAGCTTTTGATCAACTTTGTAATATTGCAACTATAAAGCATATAGAGTATAATAGAATCTATTTACAAAATTTTATTTTTGATTCTATTCCATTTTTTAAACCAAATAGTTTAGAATCAATTGAATTTGGTAACTTTCCATTTCAAATAGAATGGTTTTCAAAAATAAACCTACCACCCAACTTAAAGAAACTTTCAATATATTTACCACTTCATGATATATCTAGAGCTATTTCAATGTTAGAGGAAGAATATGAAGGAAGACAGCATAAATGTGGCACTCACGAGATAACAGTTCAAGATCCAAACAATGCACTTAAAAATTGGGAAACAATGATTCAAAAACTTCAAGATTCTTCATCTATTATTGATTTAACACTAAATACTCATTGTATAAGGGATTGTTTTCCTGAAAAAGTGGATTTCAAATTTGTTTCTAATGGTTTAAAATCAATTTTATCAAGTCCCAAAACTTTTATAAAATATTTAAAGTTAAGAGATGTATTTTGTTTTGATGATGTTTTTTTTGAAACCATAAAAAAAAGTAAAAGTATTGTATCATTAGAAATATCATCCAAATTAAGAGATATACCTTATACTAGAATTTTGGATTATGTTTCATATAATAAAAATATAATTCATTTAAAATTGGGTGGTAGAATGGTTACCAATATTTTCACAACTTTGTTAAATTATGACCAACTTTATTTAAATACATTAACTTTAGATTTTACATTATTTCAAATTTGTAAGCAAAGTGATTTAGAATTATTAATTAAATCAAGAAAATGTAAACTAAAAGAACTTCATATTAAAAGTGGTTATAAACTTTTTGATTTCAATCCCAATTCAACTTTTAAATTAACAAACTACAATAAAATTAATAATAAAGTTATAACATTAAATAAACAAAAAATTTTTTATAATTAAAAATTCAAAAAAATAAAATTTCAATCACCTTTGTTTCTTTTTTTACTATTAAAACTTTAATCAATTTCATATCGAAATTTTATTTATTTTTTTCTTAATACATTTTTTTTTATTTAAAAATATTTATAAAAAAACTATTGAATAAATTTATTTTGGTGATTAGGGAACTGGAAGGTATAATTTTTAATGAATAAATAAAAATAATAATTTAAAAATAAATTAATATATTATCATTGAACTCTATAAAACTTTTAGATATTCGCCGTATTGTTTTATTATTGATTCTATATTATTATTTGTTGAATCATTGTTTTTATTATTTTTTATTTTTTACAATCTAAATTGGAAATTATAATAATATGTATTCTACAATTTCATAACTTTAATTTCTTTGCCAATTGGAAAGTATATAGTATATTAATTTAGTAATTGTATATACTTTTTAATTGGGGTAACATTATAAAACAATTTTAGGAAATATTTGTTTTTCCATTTTATCAATATTACTATTATATCAAAACAATGGTTTAATATGGTATCAAATTTAATTATTTCACATACTCTTAATTTTAGTAATGAATTGGATGATTGGATTGATGTTATCAATAGTAATGTTAAAACTAGACTTTATAGTATAAAAAACAATGATAGTATGGGTGAATTAATGTTTTATTATTTCACAATTTTTATGATAATTTATTTATTTTATTGTATTTATTTTTTTAATTTTGTAAATAATTATTTATAGTGATAAAATAAAAATTATATCTTATAAAAAATTTATTATTCTGGTTTGGAATTCTCATTAAGGTAGTTTACAGCATTTTTACAAACACGAGCAATATCTTCCTATAATTGAAAAAAAATTGTAAATAAGTTTAAATTATTTGCTGAATAAAAATGATATGAGAAATATAACTTACAAATTTATCATTTTTATCAGTGAAACCAATGACAATATATTCGCCCCTTTTGCAAAGTGCAATACGGGTGCCAGCAGCTAAACCTAGGATTACATTTTCTTTAGTACTAGTAACATGGTACTTTACTTCGTCTATATTGTAATTGATGATAGTTAGTTTTAATAAAAAAAAAAACTGATTGGAAATATTGAAAATGCTTACTTATAGTAAATCTTAATTTTTCATCATCTGGACTATCAAAAAAATCAATGATATTAGATCTTTCATTTTCTTTTAAATCCCAATTTTTAGATGAGGCCAATGTATCACCATATTCTGATTCACTGATATGATAAAAAGAAGTTATAAAATCATTAGTAATTTGATTTCTAAAAAAAAAAACAATCAAAACTTACATAATAGCACAAGATGTAATATGTCCTGATCCAATCTAAATATGAAAATAAAGGGAATAAATATTATATATATAAAGAAACATATTATTAAAAACTTACTAATTCTTTTTCAATAAAATCCTTCAAATAAAAAAAAATTTGTTAGTATTTAATTCATTTTTTAAAATTATTTTGAAAATACTTACTTCCCATAACATTTTATTTAAATTTATTTGTTTAACTTGTTTTTATATAAAAAAGATAAAAAAAAAATCAATTTATAATAACACAAAAAATATTTTTTTTTTTATTAAAAAAATATTTTTTTAAATTTTATTTATAATAGTATTATTTTTTTATTCAATCACAGATTGTGATTGTTTCAATTTTCAAAATAAAAAATTATTATTATTAGGTTCAATTTTGCCAGACATTTGTTATTTCAAAATTTAGTGCCAAAAAAAGTTTAAAATTTGGTGGTTATTTCAAATTTGAAGAGACCAAAAACCTCTTTTACAATAAAAAAATTAAAAAAATTAAAAAAATTTCAGATTTGAAAAAAGAGGTTTATAAATTTGTAATTTGCCATATTTTTTCTAAATAAAAATAATTGATTATTAGTAGTGGATAATATGTAATATTAATATGTTGTAATTAAATTTTTATAATTTATTTTAATAAAATAGAAGCAGTTATTTAATAAAAAAATAATTATAAATCATTAACAATTTTTTTTTATTATCTTTTTAAATACATCAATTCAAATGGATGAACACATTCAAAGTTAAAAATCAAAGGGGATTCTTCTTTTTTTTTTAAAAAAAAAAATTAAAAAAAAGTTTTTTTTTTATTTTTTTATTCAATAATTTTTATAATTTTCAAATAACACAAAATAAAAATAAGATAGATAACCATTTTTGTTGAATCTACATACTACCCTACCATTTTTATTAATATCTAAACTGCAGTTTTTTCTACCAAATTTAATTAAAAAAGATGAATTTTGTCATTTCCAGGGAAAATAATTTCACTATTTATGGGGATGATGCTATATAATATGGAGTGTTTAAAAAAATAAAATAAAAAAAAATAAAAAAATAAACTTTTTTCGATCATCCATTTTTTTTTAAAAAATAAAAAAAAAACCACTTTTTTTTAAATTTTTTTAATAGTATCCCATTCTTTAAAAAATAATTATTAATTTATAATTTTACAATTTAAAACCCATAATTAATAACCATGCTTCCAAAAATTATCTATGATCAAATAATTAATATACTATTAAACTATTATTTATGTGATCATTTTAGTTATAAAAATAAATATTTAATAGAAAATTATAGTTTATATAATATAGAAATTGTTAACTTATGTTGTGTATCAAAACTATGGTTTAATATGGTATCAAAAAATATTTCACATACTCTTTATTGTAGTAGTGAATTGGATGATTGGATAGATACTATCTATAAAAATGTCAAAACTAGACTTTATAATATAATAAATAATGATAGTATGGGTGAATTATTGTTTAATACAATTACATTCGATTCATACTTTGGATATAAAAACTATAAAAATAAAATAGAAAATAATATTAAAAATATTAATAATAATAGTAATAATAATAATAGTTTAAATAATAAAACAATAATAATACAGTATAGGGGAAAAAATGATTATGGATTAAAATTAGATAAGAAATGTTTAAATGAAATTATTAATATTACAGAAACTAGTGAAGAAATACCATCAAATGTAGAGTTTAATTTAGAATTTTATTATAATAGCCAATTTTCTGGAAACATTGATAAATATCAACAACTTTCAAAAGCTTTTGATCAACTTTGTAATATTGCAACTATAAAGCATATAGAGCATGATAAAATCTATTTTGAAAAATTTATTTTTGATCCTATTCCACTCTTTAAACCAAATAGTTTAGAATCAATTGAATTTGGTGACTTTCCATTTCAAATAGAATGGTTTTCAAAAATAAACCTACCACCCAACCTAAAGAAACTTTCAATATATTTACCACTTCATGATATATCCAGAGCTATTTCAATGTTAGAGGAAGAATATGAAAGTAGACAGCATAAATGTAGCATTCACGAGATAACAGTTCAAGATCCAAACAATGCACTTAAAAATTGGGAAACAATGATTCAAAAACTTCAAGATTCTTCATCTATTATTGATTTAACACTAAATACTAATTGTAGAAGGTGTTGTGATCCTGGTTATATGTATTTCAAATTTGTTTCTGATGGTTTAAAATCAATTTTATCAAGTCCCAAAACTTTTATAAAATATTTAAAGTTAAGATATGTATTTTGTTTTGATGATGTTTTTTTTGAAACCATAAAAAAAAGTAAAAGTATTGTATCATTAGAAATATCATCCAAATTAAGAGATATACCTTATACTAGAATTTTGGATTATGTTTCATATAATAAAAATATAATTCATTTAAAATTGGGTGGTAGAATGGTTACCAATATTTTCACAACTTTGTTAAATTATGACCAACTTTATTTAAATACATTAACTTTAGATTTTAAATTATTTCAAGATTGCAAGCAAAGTGATTTAGAATTATTGATTAAATCAAGCAATTGTAAATTTAAAGAGCTTCATATTAAATATGATGATAAACTTTTTGATTTCAAACCCAATTCAACTTTTAAATTAACAAACTACAATAAAATTAATAATAAAGTTATAACATTAAATAAACAAAAATTTTAAATATTTTTTAAAAATTCTAAAAAAAAAAAAATTTTAATCACCTTTATATCTTTTTTTACAGAGTTTTTGAAAAATCCACTAAACAATTACATTAATAATACAATAAAAAAAAAAAACTTTAATTTAATTTTTATCTATTTATTATTATTAAATTTATTTTTTTAAAAAAAAAAAAAAAATTTATTAATTTTATAAATTTTTAAAAAATATAAATAAATAAAAAATATATTAATATATTAATATATTAATATAAAATATATTAATATAAAATATATTTTTTATTTATTAATATAAGTTGATATTGTAATTGTAATCACCGGAAAGATAAATCCGGTAAAAACGAATACACAATACAAATAAAAAACTCCCAACAAGTTTTTTAAAACACAAACCAAAACACAATAACACAAAAACAAATAAAAACTTCTGAAAAGTTTAAATATTTGTATACCAAATGAAAACACAAACCAAATATATATATAACACAACAAAAATAAAAAACTCTCAACAAGTTTTTTATTGAAGAAAAAATAAAGCTGAGCATCTGCTAGGCTATTGAATTCCTGATAGCTTTATATTTCTTAATTAATATTTTTTTAAAATTTTTTTTATATGCAGCAATGAAATGTAAATATTTTATGGGAATAACTAAACAGTTCTAGCTATTTTTTAATTAATTTTTTTATAAAAAAGAAAAATTGTGTGTGGTGGGGTTTTAATATAATTTTTTTAAAAAAATTTTTTTCAAAATTTTTTTTTTTTTTTTTTTCCAATCATTCTTTATAATTTCAAAATAACAGAAACAAATAATAATAATTAAAAAACAAACTATTAAAAAAAAAAAAAAACTTATTAAAGGTGGAGATTATATGGATGAGCCATTAAAAGCAACACAAGCTTACCTCGAATCCGGTTAGAAATTAAAAGAGATTATTGGAAACAGTGATTGGTATGAAAAATATAGAAGTTTTAGAAAATAGTCCACAAGAGACTCCAGCCACTCGTGCCACTCGTGCCACAGTTGATATATGTAAAGATTAAAAAAATTGACTAACTGGTAAACTCCTAAAAGAAGGTTTTCATTTTATACTAATTCAAACAACAAAAAGAATAATTTTCAATCAACCAATAAACAAATAAAATAAATAGATTAATATTTTTATCTAGAAATTTTATTAATTTTAATAAATAAAAAATTATTTTATATTTTCTATCTAGAAATTTTATTTTTTTTTTTAAAAGGTTTAAAATTTTATTGTTTATTTATTTAGTATTGTATTTTATATTTTTAATAATTTAACTAAAAATGCATAGAACAGGTGAACAGCAATGAAAATAGTAATAACAAAGTTTAAATATCATCCAATTAATAAATCTCAATCTATATCGGTGTGTTAAGAGTTAAAGATTAAAGTATGGTACTTAGGTTCAAATGATATACAGATAAATTAAAATTAAAAATTAAAAATAAAATAAAAATTAAAAAATTTAAAATTTAAAAATTAGAAAATAGTTTTAGTTTTATTATGTAGATATATATTAAGTATTTTAGGAAATAACAAAACTATCTATTTATTTATGTTATGATAAAATCGTTTATTTTTGAATTATTTAATTTTATTTTTTTAAATTTTTAAATTTTTATAATTTTTATAAAAATTATAATTTAAATAAAATAATTAAAAGTATATCTGCAGTTCTACCAACTTTCACTTACCAAACCATATTCTAGAGTACAGAACTAATTAACTCAGTAAACCAAAATAAAAAAAATTAAATTAAATATTAAAATTAAATAAATAAAAGGAATACATAAATGTATGACCATAATCAATTAACCCAATTGATATAATTGTGATGATGGAAGCATTTTTAACACAATTCAAATAATATTTTTTTTTATATTGTAAAATTAAATAAAAAAATATATCTGTGTTTATAAAAATATAAGTGTGGAAAAAATTACATAAGTTCTCTTTTTTTACAACGATGATTATTTTTTAATAAAAAAGTTAAAATTTAAATCGGTTTCAATTAATTTATTTGAATATAATTTATTTTTAGAGAAAATTTAACAGTATCTTCTATGATTATGACCAATATTGATATATATATTGATAATGTTACTGTTAACATCACCCCATGGATTAAAAAATGGATTGTAACACATGAACCGCCACCTAAGCTATTTCCAAGCAACAAAACTGATTCATTATCAAAGAATTAGACACTTCCAGATGAACTTTGCAATGATTTATATGAGGCATCTTTAACTGGGTTCATTGATAAAATAGATTCTATATAAAAAATAAATAAAAAATTCAAATTAATTGTAAAATATAGTTTACATTTTAAAATTTTGTTTTTTTTTTAATAAATATATTAGTATTTTAAATGAATAAAACTTTGATGAAACAATCTTTGCATAACCACTTCTTTATAAAAGAAGCTTAACAATTCATGGGTTTACAGATTCTACATTACCTTATAAGATGCAGCACCTCTTGACTAAACAGGACCCAAATTACTTGACGGATCTGATAATAAATATTTTGTTCAAAAGATTTTACACTACTACCACTTGATAAAATAAATGGTTTAATACCTGGTAAAGTAGAATCAAAGCACAACTTGATAAAATGGAAAATATAATACTACATGATGAAATATGATATGTACTGCTACATAAATTTACAGATCCTGAAACATGAATTGTATTGCTACTTAAATTTACGGATTCTGAAACAACCACTTGATGAAAAAGCTCTGAAACAATAAGTGTAACATATTATG